CAACATGTGTGGCCACTTTTAGCCAACATGTGTGGCCACTTTTAGCCCACATGTCGCCACTTTTAGCAAACATGTCGCCACTTTTAGCAAACATGTCGCCACTTTTAGCCAACATGTCGCCACTTTTAGCCAACATGTTGCCACTTTTAGCAAACATGTCGCCACTTATATGTTGGCTAAAACCAGCAGAGTAGTAAAATGTTAGTTAAAAGCTAAAAGTTAAAATATTTGTTAATGCAAAATGAATGTTGCCACTTTTAGCCAGCATGTCACAACTTTTAGCCAACTTCTTGATTTTTTTAGCCAACATCTTGCTAATCTTTGCTACTTTATCTTTTAGCTAACATTTTACTAATTCCTGCTTCAAACTCATTTCAGCTTCTTTTTTTATATATAATTTTCAGCAAAGTCATTTTGAACCCAACATCCTCATTGTGCTTTTGCAGAAAACACATTTTGTCTTGCTCGGTATGGGAAAAAAAAAAAGGGAACCCGCTTTAGACTCACTCATGGCTGGAAAAGATGTTGGCTGCTGAAGTAACGCGTCATAATTTCGGCGCAAAATATGACTTTCTAAATAAAACCAGACACTGCTCGATATTTGTTTTAGGTTGTTGGTGCTAAATTGGCTGACAGAGAGCATGTCACACTGAGCAACCACAAATCGCCTTATTCAAACTCCCAATCAATCTTTTGAGTCTTTTATGATGAAAGACTTTGTCCACGATTGCTGAAGAATCACACAATGTGAAACCATCCGTCTTCTGTATGAAGTTTATCACAGACCCTTGTATTTGGATCTTGTTCTTGTATCTAATCCACATTTCACTGACCACAGGGGAAGGTTGGAATGTCGATGGACCAGTAAATTGAGAGCTTTGCCTTTTTGGTTCAGCTTCTTTACCACAAAAGAACGGAACAACACCCTCATTAGTATAGATGAACACCCAATCCATTTATCATTTATGAACAAGACACTGAGATACCTAAACATATCTGCTTGAGGCAAAGACTCCTCCTTGACCCAAAGGGAGCATTCCACCATTTTCTGGTAAAGAACCACAACCCCAGACTTCTAGGAGCCGACTGTCCTCCAGACCGCTTTAAATTCTGATGAGAATTGCTCAAAACCTGAACAGAAATTACACTCGAATGCAGCAAGAATTTCTGGTTCTGAAATGTGATTTTCACACTCACCTGTGGCAAAAAGCAGGCAAGACTGTGCTCGCAAGAGCATATGTATTCATCATTCCTTGTTATTTTACAGATCGTTTCTTGTTATTGTTATATGGTATTGTATAATATTATCTTATTGTTTGTTTATTATCTGTTTTAATATTTTATCAAATCATCACTTTTCTAAACAGTTAATAATCAATTTTATTTATACAGCACCAAAATACAACAGAAGTTGTCTCAGGGCACTGAACAGAAATATTCATATATAAAATAAGTTAACAGAAATAATATGAAGATGAAAGGTGTGATAAAAATAAATCTAGCATTATGTTTTATGCATGTATTGTCAAATACAAAGACGTGCTAACAAAAAAGAAAAAACATTTTCCAGCCCTCCTGTTTATTAATAGTTCTTTGCAGCCTAACAGATTGTTTAAAGGAGAAAATTTTTAACAAATACATACATTTGCCGTTTGATGTATTCCTTGAGCAGTTTTTCATCCACTGTGTACATCTGGACCTTGCTACCGTCATCGTAATAGTAAACCATATTGGTACCAAACGCTGGGGGCACCTGAGTAGAGCCATTGGACGACTGGGAGTCTCGGAAGTGCTCGAATCGACCTGGAGAAGCAGGGCAAATAAAAAAAATTCTCAGAACTCAAAAGTTCATCTTCTGCTTCTCTGTCTGGATGGAAAGATATTAGCCTATACAGCAGGATTACAACATCAAGAACATTCTTATGGAACCAAATTTAGGTCCAAAACACACCCAGAAGTTTCTGGCTTGATGCTACACATGTGATTGTAGCTGTAAAATAAAGACCCAGCACTCATTAAAGGAATGTACATCACGCATTGCCTTTTATGTCATATTCTTCCAACTAAAATCACCTTTTGAGGACAGTTATTGCCGCAGTTAGTTATAGTTTTAGCCACATTCGATCGACTCGATCTCTTTTGATATTGAGCTCTTGTGTGATTTGTTAGCGCTTAAAGTATTTGTTCAGGATGACTAAACTACTACAGAACCAAATCTTAGCTCAGTATCTGTACAATTGGAAGCGTTTCAGCGAATTTTGTGTAGGCTTAGGTCGATTAGCTGTGGCAGCCATTTTGAGTGGTGCTAATTCCAAAAGCCAAGCAGTTCTAGATGAGCTCCAGTGATCACTTTCCAGCTTCATAAAAAAATGTGTCCAGTATTTAATGACCTGAACACAAGCAAAAACACAAGGGTACGGCACATTATGTGCCCATTGACAAACTATTATACATTGAGCGTCCATTCTTTTGACGGACGTCTAATAATTACTGCCTTTGCATCCGGTGGCAGGAGATTAAAATCCATCCCGTCTTCCAAGCAATCAATTTTGGCAAGCAAATCAATGGAGTGATTGTTGAATTTGTTGTGACAGCTCTACCAAACAGCTTAAATTTAAATGTTTATTTATCAGCTCTTCTATAGCAGGGCATCTATAATCTTTATGTCATTTGGTTTCTGTTGAACTCTGGGTATCATGGAGACAAAAGCTTGTTCATAAACTTTGAACCTTTTGAAGTGAAGCAGACATTGTATCTTTGTGAGCCGCTGTTTGAACCAAGGCAAGTTTTGAAAATCAGTGATACAAAACACGTACCTCTTCCGCGACTTCTCCCACGTCCACGGCCCTTTCCTCGTCCTCGTATTCCTCCTTCGCTACGAACACTGGTGGTATCATCCCCATTGTCCCTCACTTCCCCTCTCCACCCTGTCAACGAGGAACAACGCTTAAGTACTTCATGTAGGGGAAGTTCTACACTAAATGACAAAACTTTACATATTCTAGAGCTTAACTGCTTTACATAAATGAGAAACGTCATGTTTGTCCACTGAACCAAAACTCAATAACTTTCAAGACTCAGAAAGGGTGTTTGACCTATAATTGATTAAGACAGAATAAAAACATAACCTCAGACCCTTTCAATCTCCATTTTTTGTGTCATGCACTAAAACAATGCCAGGGGGTTAAAAAGCCAAAAAGCCAGAAGCAGAGAGCAAGAAACAATTTGCAAAGCGGGCCACTTACTCCAGTTGCTATCATGCAGCCTGGTATTATGGAGCGTTTGATTGGGCGACGTGGTATCGGGCGAGCTGCTGATGGGCTCGGTGTCTGAGCGAGATGGGCACCCACTAGACATCTTGTGTGCATCATCCCGGGACGCTTCCTCCAGTGGCAGAGAAACCCACTTTCGTTTGTTACCTAGCCATACCAGAAACACAGCTTGAAGAATTTGGTACTAAAATGATTAGCTGAACTACCAAAGCCTGGTCTTTAATTTATTTTTTACAGTATTAGTAATAAAATGGTTATTAGCATTTCCCCAACGTTTCTGGAATGTAGGGGTTCAGTTATCCATGTGATCCTGTGGGTTGTCTTAAGGTCTTTCTAGTCAAACTGGTATTACAAGATATCAAGAAAGACCACAGAAAATGGGTCACCTCTCCAAATATAGAAAAATAGGGCACCCTCCTGGAATCAGACCTGGGGACTTAGGCACTAAAGGAGCCATCGTTTGTGTGTGAGGTTGAGTGATACTGACTACATGCTTGCCCTCAGCTGAGCACTTTGGTGTTGAACTCAACCAGATAAATGAAAGTCGACTCTCTGCAACTCTGAGTTGCATGAGGGAAGGTTCTAACAGTCGTTTGTACATTTGCACCAACGAACTGTTTAGATTTGGGGATTCCATTGTTCTCCTGGTGGGCTTCAAAGCCTATGCGGGCACTGACAAAGTCATGTGGAGGTATGTGATTGGGAGGATCGGCCTCCCTGATTTTGTTGTTGGACTTCTGAGCTAGGTGTGGGCTGACCACAACAAAGAGTGCTGGAGGAAATGTTGGCCCATAAGTGTATTTGGTACCAGGCTACTTTTGGACAAATAGCAATGATCAGTATTGGAATCATATCATCTGTGGCTCTATGTTTTGGCTGTTTGGGTGTAGAAAGGGGCACAGCTGTCAACTAATCATTACCTGGAGGTAAGTTGGATCCAGTGGAGGATACGATTGCCTAAAAAGAACGTGGTGAACCCAAACGAGTATTGAGGGACGTGGGAACATCTGGTAGAGGTCCTTGTCTGTAAGCTCTTCCAATCTCAGAGAGATTTTTGCAAGCTAGGTAGGGGACATGGAATCTGAATGGGCCATGTTCAAGACCCGAATTGAAGAAGTTGTGGTGCTTTTCTTAGTAGTAAGAACCATTGGTGGACACCAGTGGTTCTGTGACAAAAAAAACATGAGGCTGAAGGAGGAGACTTTCAGGAACTGACTGTCCTAAAGGACTCCTGTAGCTATCCATTGGTAAAGGATTGTCATCATTTTCCATGAGGGGTTTTGTGTAGGTAGAAGGGAAAATTTTCACCAAAGAATCACATGATTTTTGGTTATTTAAAAATATTTTTGATTTAAATTGCCAAAATTTCAAATGATTGCAGTCTGTCAAATAAATAAAAATCATGCAATTCAAAATCTGAAAGCAGAATCACTTGTTTATGTAATCGTGTATGAACACAAAGATGTTTCCAAAACATATGGCACCATTTGTCAGTATAATCAGCCTTGATCAGACAAACAGAATTCAAGCATGCATCATTAAAGAAAAAAAAATATAGTCCTCACCCTCACCTCCTCTTTTCTTCAAACTGGTACTTTTGGCATCTTGCACCTCTTTGGACTCTTCCTCTTTGGACCGGGCTCCCAGTGGGTCTGGCTGAGCCTCCTGGTTCTCTTTGCTCTCACCGCCATTACGGCTGCTTTCTGACTTTCTCTCCGGTCGCTCTCTTCTTTTGTTCCTTTCTCTGCGTGAAGAAGGCCTCTTCTCATTGTTGCTGAGATTCTGTTGCTGCTAAAATGAAGCAAAAACTAGCTTTGATTTACACTTTAAAATGGGCATCAATGGGAATTATTTAAAATCCTATAAAACCCCAACGTCGAATCCATACAAGTTTTGGTATTCCTTTGTAATGCTGTTGTGTGCACACTTTATTGGCACTTTGGTGAAGGGTGTGTGTACAAGGTTATACTTAAGACAGCTGCAACCTGTTCACACATATGCCAGAAAGAAAGGATGGGGTGAGCTTGGGTGGAAAAAGATCTGTTGACCACAAACGCAACCATAACCTCAAATAGTAGTCAATGTGAATGCATCAGCTACCTCTTTAAGTAGCTAATGGAGGATTATGGTGGATAGTGCCATGAAAAACAAATAAACTAATCATTTAAGCCCCATGCTTAGTATCAACTGGACACTTAGCCGCAATATTCAATTCCAAAGAAATTCTCAAAAAATGGGAAAGATTTTTTTTCTAGTTCTTGTAATCTTTTGATGGCATTATGAAATCTAGATATTCTAAGTTGTATTCATTTTACGTTGAGGAACATTATTCTGAAATCATTTTATTTTTAGACAATTTTTTTAACTGGTGAATGCCTGCCATTTTATACTTGGTGTCAACCAACATATGTAATAGGTTGGAAAATGATCAACTAGCTGTTGTTGCTGCCATAAGCTTCTAAATTACCTTAATTTCCCCTAAATAACTGGTATAATTTCTTAGTTTCAACATTTGATATGTTAACTATGTTTTATTTGGAATAAAATACAAGTTTGTGAGATTTACAAATCATCCCATTGTGTTTTTAATTTACATTTTACACGACTTAATCCAAATCAAGGTTGTACAACTATGGAAGAACGTGTAGCATTGCTAATTTGAGATTAATTTGGTATGAAACTAAAATAAATTACTACAAACTACTGAAGACAACTATCTCGGCTCTCTGCAAACAGCTCTCGGCCGATACATAAAAGAGCTCCAAGCAGCACGTGTCCCACCACACAATACCAGTGAAAGTTGGAAACTGGAAGCAAGATGTCTTAAAAGGAATCACAACTACTTAACCGTCTAACCGTGCGTCGTACCTCTTTGGCCAGTTCTCCTGGAGTGGGCCAGTTTGTGATGTCACTGAAGTCACCCGACTGTAAAAAGCATAAAATGACTAATAACTCAAACTTGTCATTTTACGGGCTAGTTCAAAATGGACAATGCACCTAAACAATTACCACAAACCTTTTCCACACGGTTTTGACTACAATGAAAATTTGAGCATTAAGTTCAGATGAAACCGTTTAACCAGAGGTAAATAAACCAGAGGGAATAAACGTAAACAGTATACTGACTGAGTACTTGACCTCAGTAAAAGTACACAGTATAGTGTCTCTAATGAACATCGTTCTGAAGGAAGAGACGGTTTGATCAACCTTTCTCTAGTTTACTTTTTGAGGGATGTCAGATATATTTTAATAAAGTATAACACAGGAAGTCCTTTACAGACTATAATTTTTTTTTCCAGACTTGACAAGATTTCTTATTTAAACTGATTTCATTCAAAGGGATTACATTTACAGGATTTCAGCTCATGTAGTCATTTAATACTATTTATTTTTCATATTCGATCATTTATTAAATTATATTTATCTCAGTATAATTCTAAATATAAATCAAATTTAGCTCATCCAGACAGACACAACACCTTGTTGTTGTTAAAACACCGTGTAGAACTGAATTTATTTAGATATTTATGATAAACAACAAACACCTGAAGCTGGCTCTGAGAGAACTTAAAAAATTAAAGTTAAACAGAGACACACATCTTTGTTTTAATCTGGGAATGAAATATTTGTTTTTTAGTGTTAATATTGTTTAATTATAAGAAGTAAAGCAGCAGACGCAGCCTGTCTCCCTCTCTCTTTATGACCGGATGTTTGGTCACGTGCGCAGGTTGCACATGTCTGTACGATGATGACGACGCTTCAAACACATTAATATTTAATACAAAGTTTGTTTTAGATACAAAACTCTTGGGGAGATCAGGGCGCGGTGCAAAAGGAGGTGGTGGGTGTGATGGTGCATCAGTTCTGTTTTCCCCTAACTGCAGTGAATTTGTTACGTGTGAACACGTTTAATAATTTATTACGTCATCACCTTGGTTATGGTAGCGGGGTGTCCTGGGAAAGAAGTCCAGGAAGCCCTGATTGGTGCTCTCACCTGCAGTCTGTCTCTGAGTCAAGAACACTGACATCACCTGCGTGTATCAGACAGCAGGCTCCGCCCTGCTCTGCTCTGATTGGCTCAAACTGTGGCTCTGGTTCTGTTTATTTGTTGAAAGCAGCATCAGTTTAATCCCTGTATTATTAGATTGGATGGCTTTAACAAGACCACAATGCAACCCCACCCCCATTTTTACAGATTATATAAATCTGCTGTAGCGACAAAGAACGTTAATACATGTCTGTGTTTCACTTGGTTGTCTCGAGGAGAGTTCTGGTTGTCCAAGACGAAAAGAGGTCATCCCAGACAAACAGAAACCACTCATGTCGACCTGTTATTTGTTTGTTTAACAACATTTAGACATTTATTACTTGTGTCTTTATGCCTTAAGTCTGTGGTTCCCGAAGTTTGGGTTTGAACACCCACGTAAGCTGTGAACCAAAGTGAGGCTTCTTAAAATGATTTTTAGAAACCAAATAAAATTTAAAGGTAATTGCTAATAACACAATTGTCCCATAGTTAAAAGATATTAAAAACAATAGCTATAAATAACTAAAACAAATACTTTATTGGATGTTTAGACTGTTAGATGATGATTGTATTCTTGTTTTGTTTTTTGGCTAATTAGTTAAGTTTGTACACTTTAACCAGCATTAAATGTGGCTCAAATCCTCTACTGTGGTTTCTTTGTGGGTCAGAACCTGAAAAGTGTGTGAACCATTGCTCTAACAAATAATTAAGTTTTGTAAAACGGCAAAAACACAAAAGAAATGAAGGAGCCTACCTTGCTGGATTTTCTCAATCTTGGCTTGCTGGCTCGAACGACTTTCAGAGCATTTTGTTGATCTGCAGACACACATTCAATCAGTGAAGATGACATCATCAAATGTGACAGGCTCAAATTAAACCACAGACGGATCCAAAAATCAGAATTTAGCGAGAACTCCGAGCAGGTTATCAGCCTCCATCCAGTTGTGAGCAGTCGGCTGTGTTGTGTTTGAGCAGCACTGTGAATTCCTGGAATAAAAACGCTCCCCACAGGGTCTGAAACGTTGAGCGTGCTGAGGATGTTTTGTTTGCAGCCAACAGCGGTATGTGGCTGCTTCTCTGTGAGCTGGGAGTGGCCCGCCACAGCCCGACGGTCCCTATCGCTCAGCAGAGGAGGGCTGAACTGATAAGACCCGCCGGGCCGAGGCCCGAGCAAGGCCGCAGACTAACACCCGGGAAGTTGGTTGTACAGTAGCCCTGTAAGCTGACGCCTGTGCACAAGCTGTACGCTTCAAATTTAGCTTCCCCCCCCACCCCAAACCGTCACCCCGTACCGTGACACACATTCACAGCTCACATTTAGCAGAGCCATTTCAATTTTAAAAGAAGCTGTTTGCAGATGATCAGAACTTCAGCCTGTCAGTGTAAATAAACTGTCATGTGCACAGGAAGTTCAATCAATCAACTTCATAACTGCTTCTACAAAGGCAAAACAAAATAGTTGGAAAAGTCCAGATTTTTACTCCCCAATTACCGTTTGCAAACTGCTGTACTCATTTAGCATTCTCGGTCAGATATATAGTAGTATTTCGCCTCTACATAAATTTAAAAACTGTCTGACGAAAACAGAACCACAACTTTACAAATACAGGATGAACTTTGTGTGAATATCTGTGGCGTGCATCTTTATTTTCATTATCAATCGTATTTTTCTAGCCATGTACGACGTATGATGATGTTGTTTCGGTCTGTGATGCTCATCCTGATGTTTGTAGCTTGTTGCGCTGCTTGAATGGAGCAGAATCTGTGAGTTGGTTTGTTTCTACAAGCATCCATGCGAACGAACAAGTCAAAACACGATAAGATGGAACGCTATATTTACGATTTAGTATGAAAAACGTACCTCCTGTGCACAACTCTTCTTGTACCGTCCCTAAATAATATTTATAATCTGCAAATAGGAAGGGAAAACAAGTTTTTCTGTTGAGCTAGCAAAACGTCTCATGAATAAGCTGATGAATTTTAAAGAAACACTTAAAATAACTGTATGTAGATCTGCAACTATTTAACTTTTAGGGTCATCTTGACTCAGGACCTGTGAAAATACAAACGTGATTCTGTGGGGTTAATTCGAAAGGTTTAACTCCCAGGACAAAAACAGAGGAAACGCTGAAAAAAAAAAAACTACTTGTCCACATGTGTCAACCAAGTTAGCCTGTCTCCACAAGAGGTGTGGATGCAAAAGTCTGTCAGTCAGGTGTTTAGTCTCGTAATGTGCACCCTGAAAGTCCATGGCACCTTGTCCCCTGACAGGTGTGCTGGGTGGTGAAAGCTTAGGTTAGCAGTTCTTAAATGCTACTGATCTCCATCTTCTATGGCATATCCACAGATGAGTTTTGGAAGCATCAGGTCCAGGAGAGAAACCCAGACCTCCCTCTCCCCAGCAATATTCTCCAGCTCCTCCTGGAGGACCCCAAAATGTTCCCAGGCCAGAGAGGATATATAATGCCAGATTGTTCTGGAGCTGCCCCAGGGTCTCTTCCAAGAGGGACGTGCCCAGAAAACTTCCAAAGACAGGCATCCATGAGGATCCTAATCAGATGAACCACCTCAACCGACTCCTTTTGATGCAGAGGGGCAGTGGCTCTACTCCGAGCTCCTCACCTTTTTTCTAAGGCTGAGCGCAGCCATCCTACGAAGGAAGCTCTTTTCAGCCGCTTGTATCCGGGATCTCATTCTTTCGATTAAAATCCAAACCTCATGACCACAGGTGAGGGTTAAAACATAGACAGATCAGTAAATCCAGAGCTTTGACTTTTTGACTCTTTCGTCACCACAACTGATTGAAGCAACACCCTCATTGCTGAAGTTGAGACTTCGATATGTCAAACCCTCGTTTGTCTTCATGAGGTTTGGATCATGACCAAAGGAACAAGATCCTGGATACAAGTAGCTGAAATGAGCTTCCTTCACAGGGTGGCTGGGCTCAGCATTAGAGATAGGGTGAGGAGCTCCATTATCAGAGGGGAGCTGCTGCTCCTCTGCATCAAAAGCAGTCAGCTGAGGTGGTGAGTCGATTAGGACACCTCCCTTGGGAGGTCTTCTGGGCATGTCCCACTGGGAGGAAACCCTACGGCAGACCCAGAACTCTGGAGAAGTTATACATCTTCTCCGATCTGGGAACACTTTGGGATCCCCCAGGAGGAGCTGGAGGAGTGTGTCTCTGGGGATAGGGAGGTCTGGGTTTCTCTCCTGGACCCTGACAGATAAACGGTAGAAGACAGAAACAGGTCCACTTTGCCAGCACGGGTCACATACTTTCAGCGGATTCAGACTTTTGTGTTTACACTAGTGCAAAATGTGTGTATTATATCTGGGTAACTGCTTGGTAGTAAACCTGTTTAAACTGCACCATCTGATGTAATTCAGTTTCACCTGTTGTTTAATTTTTTTTAAGTTGCAACCAGTGCCTTTAAGTGGAACAGGTGAACTTGTGTTATCTCACCTGTGTTATTAAAATATATGTATATATATATTTGACACCTCCTAAAACGCTTGTTTGTTTAAGTAACTCAAACAAGTTTCCTTCAGTGCAGGTGACAGCAGGAAGCTGTATGTGGTGGGAGGAACTGCAGGTACTGAGGCCATTGGACTAATGAAACGTGCCTTTACAGCAGAACCAGCTAGCCTGCTCGTCCTAGCAAGCTAGCTGTACAAACATGGCTTTTTTTTTATTTTTATTTTTTATACCAAGTTCCTCCCGTGAGTTTCCCTGACAAACACCGGCTCGGGCCCTCTGTCACCAGCGCAGCCGCGAAGGGAAAAAGTAAAAATATTAAAAAGCTAAAGTGGTAGCTAAAGAAGTAGCATTTGTCAGCAATCAACACGTGGTCCTCCGGAGCAATCCGAGCACAGACGGAGGGGGATGGGGCACCAAAATAAATAAATAAAAACACCGACTCTTGTCTTGTCTGCGCTGACACTTAGGAATTTAATCCAACTGTAAACGTGTAAAAGTGAGGACTGACATAAATTTTAACCCTGACACATCCCTGCTGCTGCTGGGGAACACTCTGTGCCATATTGTTCAGTTTCACCTGCCTAAAAATGACAGATTTAAACATTTTACCTGTCTCCTGGGGGCTCGGGATTATTTTATTAGCCGGGACTTTGCCTGTGGTCTTCTTCGTCCACGGGTTGACCTTCGGTGGAGGAGCTTCAACAACTTTCTTCTTCACGACTTGAACCGCCGAGTCAGCATTGCTGCCTCCTTCTCGTTGCTCGTTCTCCTTGTCGTTTTCTTTGCACTCCTCGGGCTCGTGGATACGATCCGCCGGCTGCGCCTCCGAACCTCCGCGCTCCCGATCCTCTTGGTGAGCCTCCCCGGGCTTGTTGTGCTTCTCCCCCTGCGCTCCACCGGAGCTACCGGCTGTCAAACCCGGGTCGGCCGGACTGCACTGAACCTCGGCGGACATCCTGCTGCTTTTCCCTCAAAGCGGTGTTTTAAAATCCAGCGTGAACTCGTGGTCCTGCTTTTCTTTTGCCCCAGATAATAGTAAAAAGCTCAGGCGGTGGCAACATTCACTCGAGGTAAACAGAATTTTGGGCTGGACCTCGCTAGCTAAGTAGCCCCTACAGCTAACTGTTAGCTAGCTGCTCGGGACCAAGCAGGAGCCAGCGAGTTAATGTTTTTTTTTTTCGCAGCTGTTTTATCTAAACTAATACTTTTATCTCGAGCTGCAATCCTTGACTTAGTTCTGCCAGAGTTTTACTAACTTTCACGGAAGAAAATGTATGTTAAAGCAGCTGCCAAAGCGACCTCCAGTAAATTTGTCTCCAATTCTAATTCTACGCTACCTGCAACGCGCTCGTGCAACTCGGTGGTGTCCTCATGTTGTAAACACTGCCTGTGCTGCCCCCAGCGGCCACACCTCGGTACTGCAACACCAATAATTAATGTACAAGTATCCTGATGCACAATGTACAGTATGTTTTTTAATATTAAGGTTAGTGGGATTAAAACAAGATTTTTTTTAAAGATAATATAACTACACATCTAATTTTGTTTATTTTGTTTAAATGTTACTCGCAACACATTTTAGTGAGAAAAAAGGCTTTTTAAATGCATGTATAGAAGTCCAAAACTGACAACAATAATAAAAATTCTCCATGTCATTAACACTTCAGGATTATTATTTAGCACTTCATAAATATGAGACTTAGTATGCCATAATTTTGACATGACAATTCAGTTATGCAGTACCAAGTCAATTTACGACTGGCCAAGTCAATATATTAAGACATCTAATATTATAAACTTTCAAGTCATGAGATAGTCAAAACTTTGAGCTAATATATGATAAATGTCACATTAAGTCCATGTTATGAGATGCTAAGTAGCAATTTTGATAGGTTTTGTCATATTTTTAGCTAATATGTCATTGTGTTAAGTCATAGTTATGAGACACTAAGTCATAATTTTGAGATACAGTACATCATAATGTAGAGTTGCTTACCGTCTTAATTTTGAGCCAATATCTCCTCAAAATTATGAGATGTGATATCAAAACTTAAAAGTGTCAAGTCATAATTTTGATACAGTATTTCAAAACATGAAGTACTAAATCATATTGATGAGATTAGATTTATAATTTATATATGCAGAATGGCAGAAATAGGCTTCCACACATGAACTGAATTTTCCTTGGATACAGTAAGAAAAATGGTGAGAAGCAAGAAATATTTTTACAATATTTTTTGTTTGCTGACCCTTCAGATGGGCAGATTATTAAAAAAAACAGCTATTTAAATTATTGTTTGTTTCATTTTCCTGCAAAAGTTCAAATGAAGTCAGTATAGCTTACAGCATTTCAAAGCACCAGTAAAAAACTAGTCGCTGTATGAAGGCTTGTACAGGTCCTTCTCAAAAAATTAACATATTGTGATAAAGGTCATTATTTTCCATAATGTAATGATAAAAATGAAACTTTCATATATTTCAGATTCATTGCACACCAACTGAAATATTTCAGGTCTTTAATTGTTTTAATACTGATGATTATGGCATACAGCTCATGAAAACCCAAAATGCCTGTCCCAAAAAATTAGCATATCATGAAAAGGTTCTCTAAACAAGCTATTAACCTAACCATCTGAATCAACGACGTAACTCTAAACACCTGCAAAAGATTCCTGAGGCTTTTAAAAACTCCCAGCCTTGTTCATTACTCAAAACCGCAATCCTGGGTAAGACTGCCGACCTGACTGCTGTCCAGAAGGCCATCATTGACACCCTCAAGCAAGAGGGTAAGACACAGAAAGAAATTGCTGAACGAATAGGCTGTTCCCAGAGTGCTGTATCAAGGCACCTCAGTGGGAAGTCTGTGGGAAAAGTGTGGCAGAAAACGCTGCACAAGGAGAAGAGGTGACCGGACCCTGAGAGGATTGTGGAGAAGGGCCGATTCCAGACCTTGGGGGACCTGCGGAAGCAGTGGACTGAGTCTGGAGTAGAAACATCCAGAGCCACTGTGCACAGGCGTGTGCAGGAAATGGGCTACAGGTGCCGCATTCCCCAGGTCAAGCCACTCTTGAACAAGAGACTGTGTCAGAAGCATCTCGCCTGGGACTGCTGCTGAGTGGTCCAAAGTTATGTTCTCTGATTACAGTAAATTTTGCATTTCCTTTGGAAATCAAGGTCCCAGAGTCTGGAGGAAGAGAGGAGACACAGAATTCACATTGCTTGAGGTCCAGTGTCAAGTTTCCACAGTCACTGGGGTGCCATGTCATCTGCTGGTGTTGGTCCACTGTGTTTTATCAAGGGCAGGGTCAATGCAGCTAGCTTCTTCACTTCATGCTTCCATCTGCTGAAAAGCTTTATGGAGATGAAGATTTCATTTTTCAGCACGACCTGGCACCTGCTCACAGTGCCAAAACCACTGGTAAATGGTTTACTGACCATGGTATTACTGTGCTCAATTGGCCTGCCAACTCTCCTGACCGGAACCCCATAGAGAACCTGTGGGATATTGTGAAGAGAAAGTTGAGAGACGCAAGACCCAACACTCTGGATGAGCTTAAGGCCGCTATCGAAGCATCCTGGGCCTCCATAACACCTCAGCAGTGCCACAGGCTGATTGCCTCCATGCCACGCCGCATTGAAGCAGTCATTCATGCAAAAGGATTCCTGACCAAGTATTGAGTGCATAACTGAACATGATTATTTGAAGGTTGGTGTTTTTTGTATTAAAAACACTTGTCTTTCATTGGTGGGATGAAATATGCTAATTTTTTGGGACAGGCATTTTGGGTTTTCATGAGCTGTATGCCATAATCATCAGTATTAAAACAATTAAAGACCTGAAATATTTCAGTTGGTGTGCAATGAATCTGAAATATATGAAAGTTTCATTTTTATCATTACATTATGGAAAATAATGACCTTCACAATATGCTAATTTTTTTAGAAGGACCTGTACTTCCACTCTTCAAACATTTGTGAATTGTTTCCAACAGATCATTTGTTCCATGAAGGAGTTTAACACCATCTACTGGTGAAGCTTGACGATTTATGACAAATTCTCAGGTTGGTTTAGTCTTTGGCAAAATACCTGCAAATTTACAAAATTTGAACTGTATATGAAATAAGTAATGGCTTTATTCTCACCTACAGCTTTTTTTCAATCAGTATTAAGGTTTTTTTATATTTTCAAAATGTAAAACTGATTAATTCTGTATTTTATTGAAGTCTTTATTGATGAACCTGTATGCTTGTGGATTAAACTGTTGCATTTTTGTTGACATTACCAATAATAAAATGTCTAACTTGGAAATAATCCGCTTTGACCCATTTTAATTTCTGCAAATTGGCAATTTATGAGTTTATAAACCAAAACTAGACATTTTAGTGATTTTGTTCATTTACCTATAAAAACACTTTTTGAGCAACCTCTAAAACGTTTATTATCTAAGAATTGCAATAAAGAGTCTGGAAACATGTTTTACCAATCTCATCCAGACCTAAAAAACAAACAAACATACTTTTATGAACATTTCTGATATTTATGAATAAATGTGTATTTAAAAGACAAACATATGCAAATGAGAAGTTGAATACAAGCAAGCAATTTATGGCAACTCTTTTAATAAAAAAAAAAAGGTAATTTCTGAATAATGAGGGGATGGAGAATAAATAGATGCAGTTTGTTCTGTCGACGTTTTACTGAATATTTACATTAAAAAAACCAAACAAGGCTGAATGTCCAGTTCCAGCAGGAAGAGCTCTTCTGGTCGATTTCGGGGCTCGGACCACAAGCGAATAAATCTTTACATCTTCAGCTAAAATTAACAACAGCTCTCAGATCTAATTTTAAACATCACATGCATCTCAGCTGACGCCGTCTTCTCTACAGTTCATGAATGAGCAGAATAAGTACAAAATAAACATTTCAATGCAGTTTTATTTACATAAAATCGAGGTCAATATATAATTTTTTTCCCCTTGCAATTCCTTATTGATAAAAGTGGATGCCAATTGAGGTGGTAGAGTACATTCTTTTAATTTATTTAACACCAGGTGTCTCAAAGGCACGCTTTCTTCATGCTCTTTTGAACAACCGAGTCAAACACTGAGGGCGAAAAATTATTTAAATACGTTTAGAAATTAAACATTTACACATACAGAATTGTCTTTTTTTCATTAACTTATCTTACAAGAGTACAGCTCAATGATTTGTGTCAAATAATGAAGTTTAACAGATTAAAAAAAAAAAAACAAGAAGTACTACAGTACATTGTTTTCAGAAGATGTGCGCTCCATAGCCAAAGGTCTGTTTAATAGCCTGGAAGTAGTATCTCTTCCAGCCTTCTTTCGTCTGGTCCTCTTCACTGTCTGGGACGCCTCGGCACTCCACCTTCAGCTCCGTCTCGTTGTGCAGGTCCGAGAACGTCAGCGTGATGGTTGCGTAATGCTCTGCAGTGCAGGGAAAAAAAAGATCAGAACCCCTAAATGTTAAATGGACTCCTGCAAACGCTCCGACTCCACACAGATCTGTTCATTCCCTGTTGTTTATCGTCTACACTGGAAGAGAACTAACCTTTGAGATTGTTATTAATAAGAGTACTGCAAACAGCACATTATACTCCCATTGACAAACTGTTAGACATCGACAGCAACGGCCTGAAGAGGCAAAGACCTTGTATAACCTTTGACCTTGGAACTGGGATGTGGAATAATGAAAAGATTACACAACAATCCGTCTTTTGTATCAAGTTGTGTATCAAGTTTTTGTTCAATTATTTTGAGGGAATCAGAAGTTCTGGTTTGGACAAGCAAAGACCTCAATTAACATTTGACCTTGACCTTGGAGAAGGGTGATGAAGTGTACGTGACACTCCAGTGATGATGCAGACGTGTATGGAGGATCAGAAGTTATGGGCGGGAGATCAAACCATAAACCATCATGAAGCACGTGTCACTCACTACCTTACAAGCTAGTTTTCACTTGTGTGATCAGATGTTGTCAGAGTATGTGTTGGGGGTGACTCTCAGCTACTACCACTCTAAATTATAGCTCAGCATCTTTAGAACTGTCTATATTATACCCGTCTGTTTCTACGACTGATGGCCTGCGGCATGACATGTACATTTAATGATTACTTTCCGTGAGTTTCGTAACATTTGTCCACTGGTTTACATTTTGCTAACAGAAAAGCACAGAAGCGCCCACCTTTCAAGGCAGTGGAGGATTAGTGTTACTTTTTGAGAAAACCAATCCAGTCACTTGTTTTATTGGTGCAAATAACTTGAGCAAGTTCACATTTAAATAAAGCTTTTTTCACCTGTTGCCATAAAAAGTGGCAGGTGAGCATGTAATCACATCTATTTATCTGCGTTAGCACAATATCTCACAAACCAGTGGTACGATTTTAATAAAACTCTCAAAGTAATTACAAGATGCGCATCTCCAACTGATGAAGCTTTGAAGTCACCCTGATTCAAGATGGCAGCTAATTAACATTAGCTAACACAAATATGGTATAATGCTGTCAACTTTACATTCAGCTAACACCTGAGGTAGTAGTAACTGAGATTAATTACAGATTATGCTAGATCTTTGCCTAAACCTTGACATGCCTCATGGCGGGAGATATGCATTCCTTCAAGGACTGTTCCGTTGATTAATATTGTAAAACTGTCGAACTTGGAACCAGTACGTACCACAAGGCCAGTTGTTAAACCTCCACTTCATGACTATTTTCTCATCAGGAACCTGTTGGAAAGAGGAACGTAACTGTAAGGAGGCGTTCCCACAGACGGCGGAGAGATTAAACGTCCGTCTCACCAGTTCTACGAATTCTCCAAAGACGTTTCCTTCTAGCAGCCGAAACTTTCCGCCCCTCTCCCCCTCCACTGTGGCAGGACAGCGCGTGAACGCCTGAACCATCTGCAGATCCAAAAGCAGGACTTTTTAACGCTCAGATCAAATTAAATTACACCTCCTCTGACTTGTCCAGTAACGTGTACATTTATGTTTGCACGTGAAGCTGACCTCCTGCTTGAGAAAGACTCTGTACAGCTCAGCTGGTGAGGTGAGGAACGTGTCTTTCAGGGTGACTTTACAGGTGGGGATCTTCACACCTGTGTTGATGGGCGGAGCTGTGCTGCTCGTGGAGATAATCTGAAAGAAATTTAAATATTACGAGCTAAAAATTTGTTAAATCTTTACGAAATTGAGCTTTTCTGTAAAGCCAAAACAAACAAAAAAAAAAACCACCACATACCTGACTTTTATCCTGTTTGGCTTTGGGCTCTGAGGTTGGTTGCGGACTGGCCACACCGTTTGCTGTCGGCAGGATCATCCCTTGTGTGAACTCTAAGATCAGTAAACAAGGAAAAATAAAAGAAAATAAATGAACTGAGGAATATCCCTTCAAATTTACCAAATCTACAAGTACACAACCATTTAAAGTCGTGACTTGACCACTCCGACAGCAACGGTGTCATTTCGCTTTAACTACTCTGCTTGTGTGCAAGCAACGTGGACAGTTTTGAGGAGCAGTTGGACGAGGCGGACAAAAAAGTGTGGCGCGCTTTTTTGCGACCGATTCGTGGCCAAGCAACGGATACAGGGACAGAGTGGAGACCCTGGTGAGAAGAAACTTGTGTCATAGACCATAAATCCACAGGAGAACTTGTGCGTGACTGAATCGCACTGTTGACACCTGGTGGCTTTCACGAGGACGGCGTCCTTCACAGAGTCGTCAGAGGTGGTCTAGTACACTTTACTCATTTGGTTGTCTGAACACAAATGAGGGCCACACTGAACAACTGCAAACTGAACCGACAGCATTTAGTTAGTTTAGGGTCCACAAGGAAATTTAGTTTCACTTTTCTCCTGGTTGATATTGTCTGAAATATATATAAAAAAATAATCCTTTCAGGAATCTTTTCTGGGTTTCTTTACATCTCTTCAATTATAAATAGAGTAAAACGGTTTACTAGTTCAAGTTTAAATACTTAAAGGCAGCACGATGGCTCAGTGGTTAGCACTGTTGCCTCACAGCAAGAAGGTCCTGGGTTCAATCCCTGGTTAGACCTGTGGTCTTTCTGTGTGGAGTTTGCATGTTCTTCTCGTGCTTGCGTGGGTTTTCTCCGGGTACTCCGGTTTCCTCCCACAGACTAACAACATGCTGCCTTCAGGCGCAGGCCTCCCTTGTAAGAGAGATCTGTGATGTCATTGTGGTTTGCCTGGTTAAATAAAGGTTAATAATAAATAATAGTAATTATCTGCCACAAATAAATATGTTAACTGAACTTTTGTTTAATTTTTGAAGCACTACGTCTTCAGGGTTGTACTTTCTTATTTTATTTTTGTACAAACGCTTCAGCTCTAAATGTACAGAACTAAAACAATGCCAATGATAAAAACTTCTTAAAAACTGGTCCGATGTCGCCCATTTCATGTCAAAAGTGTACCGACAAGCCAGGTATGGTGGAGGTAGGAAACAACGTGATCGGTGTGGCTAAGAACATCGTTTTTCACTCAAAAATTTTTTTCATTCATTCATTCAACCTTTATTTATACAGGCTGGTCTCATTGAGCCACAAGGACACATTACAAGAGGGACTTGTTCCAGACAGAACATATAAAGTACAGACAATGACAACAATAAACTACAGTAAAAATGCAGTTAAAATAAGAGAAGTGTATAAAACAATATATATCCCTCGTCGTCTAAAAACTGACCGCTTGGTCACACTCAGACTTCAGCGAGACTGCAACTGAATATTCTCCCATTTTCTTGTAATTTAAAATCACCAACGACTCTCCATAAGCCGAGGGTCTGTGCCTTCAAATAATTCAATTCCATATGGTTAGCAATAAATACTGCATCAGTTACAAATAAGCACCAAATTTAATTTGTCTCATTCCACCGTTATTCACCTTAGCCTCGTGAAGACACACACAGAGGCCATTTCATCCTTTATGTTAATCACAATCAGCTCATTTGGAATTACATAAACATGTAAATGGTCATCATTGGTAGATGTGTGTATCAGATACTTTAAGAAAACTCAAATCTGTTCAGTACAAAAACAATTTAATATACTTATTTTGACAAGACAAGGCATAAAATCTTTTAATCTCTTACAAACCTGTTTTCAAAAGACCAACATAACTTCCCAGCACTTCACGGATCTTCTCAGCTCCCTCAGCCTTCATCAGGTTGATCAGTGGCGTGTCGGGTTCGTCTTTGTTTAACGTTACAGAAATCTGGAGAACAGGACAGACGTTAGTACACGCACGGCTCGGGATCACTAAACCCAAACTCTGGGCCGGACTCACATCGAGGTCCTCTGTGCCATTTTCATCGGACAAGTTTGGAACTTCAATCGCTCCTTTATATTTCACTCCTGCTTTTGATTCTCCTGGTAAAAAAAAGAGAAATTAGGTGTATGGGCAAACATTTAAAACTTTTTCTTCAGTTTAAAAATAATTTAACAAAGTCGAAAATGTCATAAAATACAAGAGCTGAAGCACAGTTATACCCCAATAAATATTGTTTCATAACAAAATAAGCTGGCATTTTTCTAATGTTAGTGTAAGAGTAACTGGGAACAAACATGCTAAGGGCTACTGGAGTTATATCAGTGCGTACATTAAAAATGGGGAACCTTTGATTATGTGCAGAAAAGCAACAGCATCAAACATTAGCATAAACTGCATTCCCATCGGTCAAAGCTTAAGTCAAATACTAAGTATCGACAAATATGGTTTACATTAAAATAAGTTTGTTTGCATTTTAAAGCTGGTTTTGTTCTCCTGACACCATCAGGAGAAAAAAAAAAAAAAACTGCTATAAAATGTAGTTTTGGCCAAAACACCACCCAAACTAAACACTTTCCAACTCACCGGTCCAAGTGGCTTTCAGGTTCCATTCATAAAAGAAAATAAGTTTCCCTTTGCGGTTGTTAATCGAGGCCTCTCCTTCTACCTTGCTGACTTCTGTCACCTCACACATGCCCTCTTCGTTCTCCACACTCAACCCGAGCAGCAGAGACTTCAGTTTATCAGAAGACCAGTTTGTTGCATCTCTTTCCGTCCTGAAAAATTCCAAAAAGACCAGAACTGAGAACATATTTAAAAACAGGTAAACGACATAAGCCCGTATCTCGCTGAACTGTCGGCAACAAACGCTAGCGGATTTTCAAAATTTCTTTAAAACGTTCATGAGGGGTTTGAGTTTCCGCACCAGACATCATTTGTGTTGGACTTTAAAACAAATTTACTCCTAAAGTAGTCGTAGCGTCACTGTGGGCGTTTGGACCCCATCTGGATTTAGTTTCAGTGAGACAAGAAATGTTAGAAACACCTTTAAAAGGGTTTAGCAACCAATGAAGCTAGACAACTGGTTTGAGACAACAATAGAAAAAAGGTTGCAAACAAATTATGACATGATTAAGACATTTTGTGATTAAACTTAGTATTTGCAGGAATGTTACAATTTTTTCCCCCCACACTTATTGGTGCATGAACGCGTAACAACTTAGTGCAATTGCAAGAGTAATTTTGTGCATTTTTTCCACAATTTATTTTCTCCAACTAGTCATAGGCCAGTAAGATGCAGGTTATATTGTATAAATGTTCAGAACAATGCTTCAGTTTAATCTTCTTTTCACTCTACAAGCTTAATGTAATCTTTAGACAATTTCACCTTTTTTCATTTACTCTTGTAGAGCCTGGACATGTAATCGTATCAGTTGTTTTTACTAAAATTATGAGATTTACCATGTTGTTGATTTGGTTTTATTTATTTATTGTTCAGCACTTTGGCGCAAATAAGTTGGTTGTTAGTGATGTTGTACTGTATGTTAATATGTGGGTTAGTTAAATGCAGAGAACTAATTTTGTCATTGTATGGGAACATACAATGATAACACACAGCACTCTAATCAAGGTCAAGGTTCTTTATTGTCATTCGCATCACATGTGGTACATGTGGTGGAACGAAACTAAGAATATGCTAAATACTTAATAGTGCAAAAACAATACGCCGAACAACAGCAGCACAAACATGAGTCTGTGTGAGCAGATGAGGACGAATACAGAAGCATGAAATAAATCAGCAGCATGAGATCAGCAGCAATAAACTCCTAAGAAGGTACTATAACATATCTTACTGTTTTCTTTACAATTTATACTTTTGTTGGATTTAACTGGGACCCTGTGTACACAATTTCACCACAGGGTAGAACGAAATTGTACGAAATAAGACCATTTAATGGTATTATTGCCCAACACAATAATAAGTGGGCTTTTATGTGCAAAACCAACTATAAAATAAAGATGTTCTTGTGGAAACAGAGCTAAATATTTATGTAAAATGTATTTTTGTAAATAAAAAGGTTGGTGATTGCATTGATTTTTAGTTACAAGTAGCACAATGGGTATTTTTATTCTATACAAAGTTTTATTTTAAGTAAAAGGAAGGTGCTCAGATTAAGATTTGTTGACATTGTGTGCGCTGGTGAAGATTCTCAGTCATCCAGGACATGGTAAATTAAAAAAAGTTCAAGACAAAAACAACTGCACTTTATTTTGCAACAGAAGCCGTTCCGCTTCTCACCCGAGGTGCTTTCTCAATTCAAAGAACAGAGACATTGTGTGATTGTGAGGCTAACAAACTGCAGTGGTGACAGTAATAAAGAGGACACCTTTAAAAAATAAGTGCAACACATAAAATATAATCTGTGCATCACGAATTAATGTTACCATGGAAACCCATTGTTGGCACTCACAAAAAGGGTATGAATAAAAAAATAATAATCACATTGCATGGTGGGGTCATCTCACGTGTCCTCCACCGGTTCACGAATAACACTTAAGTCTTTTTGTATTTTAGCAACAACAAAACAGCTCAATAAGTAGAAACACGTGTCACAAGCAGACACACATTTAGTGTGTTGTTATCCACACGTGTCAAGACTAAAACAAGCATTTTGAGCCAAGCTAGCTTAAACTAGCTAAGCTAAGTAAACCAATAAGAGTAGCTTTAAGGTTGTTCCAAAGGCTCAATTTTAACTAAAAGTTATGTTTAATACTCACGCCTGTCTATTTAGATAAAAGACAAAATAAAAACTACATGTCAGGGTGCCAACATGAGCTCAACGCGTGCTTTTAGCATTAGCATGCTAACCGAGGATAGCCGTTTCTCACCAGTGCCAGTTGTTGACGTTCGTCGCATCGGCTCGCTCCTCCACAATCCAGCGAGGGTCGCCTTCTCCCCATTTAGCCATCTCCGATTATGAACAGAAAAAAATATTAATAAACTTTATAACTGTTGAACGCTGACTGCTCTGAGCAGCTGTGGGTCTTGCGCGATTTTGCCGGCGACTGCCTGACTGCACGATGCGGCTTCTAGAAGTCTCTGTTTCAGGGTGCTCCTAGCGGTGCGCCTGCGTTTATCCTCCGAATGTAGAAATTGCTGGAAACGGAACTCTGTGGAACATGAGGGAAAAAAAAAAAAAAAGAAACATCCCCTCACCCCTAACCGGAAGTCGTGTTTCTGCAAAGTGGTTCCGCGTCAGAAAAGCAACGCGTTATTTTATTTCGTAAGGATAAAAAAAAAAAAAGAAATTAGGTAAAATACAAAAAATAGCAATAATTTTTTGTTGTCAAAAACGACAAGTTAAATGAAAGCAGCTTTTCTTGAGGGAATGTTTTATCTTCCGTGTCTAAGTTTTCAAAGGTCTTGACCCACTGAGCAAGGAGACGTCGAAATGACGTCTTTTTTAAGTCGTTTTTGCACGTCGTGCAGACTGTTAGACGTCTTTTTCCGACGTCCAATGGACGGTCAATATAGACGTATTTTGTACATCAAAATGTAACTTGTTTTATTCACTTCAGATAATAAAATACTTAGTAAGTGCAGATGGATGTTGGAATGACTGGGGTTCACTCCCAGGACCTTCCCACTGAGCAAGGAGACGTCTACACAACCTTTTTTAAGTCGTTTCTGCTTGTCTAAATTGGGTCCCTCGGAGGTGCAGACTGTGGCGCCAGAAGACGTCTTTTCCCGACGTCTAAAAGACGTCTAGTTTCGACGTCTATCTGACATGTTAATATAGAAGTCTTTTTCCGACGTCTAAAAGACGTCTAGTTTCGACGTCTATCTGACATGTTAATATAGAAGTCTCTTTCCGACGTCGAAACGACGTCTAGTTTCGACGTCTATCTGACGTCAATATAGACGTCTTTTCCACGTCAACTAACTATATTTATTATTTTAAATAGGCTCTTATTTTAACTTTATTTTATTATAACTTTAACTTATTTTAGTCTTAAAAAATGCTGCTTCTATGCTATGCATATGAAAAGTACTTTAAAACTGTGACTGAAGCTGGGGAAATATTCATTTGACCACCCATTGTGCAGCAGGAAACATGGTCCTAGAAACAGTTGGATTAGAGTTTACAAATCACTCCTTAAATTTTTCATTTATCTTCTTTATTTAACACAATTTAAAGGATTAACAGAACAGTAGCGTAACACTGGTGGCAAAAACTAAAAAAAAAAAAAGTCCACCTTCAGTACCTTAAAAAAAATAAAAACAACAACTTTAGAATTAACAGGGAGCTTATCAACTGGTGGCAAAACACAATGTACACAAACAAATCTATAAAAATACACAGCTCACATAGCTTTGGTCTGTACTTAACATAAAAAAAAATTACATGCCTTCATTTTCATTTTCGGATAGCTGAACTAGCAACATGAGAAATAAAAGCTATATAAAATTACAGTCCCCTCACCACAATTACCATACGCAATTTTTTTGAAAGTGTGCTGGTCATAACATTTTGAATAAAGTTGATTTATTTCAGTAATTCCATTCAAAAAATGAAACTTGTACTCAGTCATTACACACAGACTGATATATTTCAAATATTTTAAAGTTGATGATTATAACTGACAACTACTGAATACCCTAAATTTAGTATCTCAGAAAATTAGAATATTACTTGAGATCAATTTAAATAAATAAAAATAAATAAATAAATAAAGGATTTTTTTTATAGATGTTGCCCAACTGAAAAGTATGAAAAATGAAATGTATGAGTATGTATATCATTCATTACTTGGTTGGGGCTCCTTTTGCAAGGACCATGGTACCATGTTCACACTTTTCAGTTGGCCAACATCTATAAAAATCCTTTCTTCGTTTTTTAAATTGGTCTCAAGTAATAGTCAAATTTTCTGACATACTAAATTTGGGGTTCTCATTAGTTGTCAGTTATAATGAACATTAAAAGAAATAAACGTTTGAAATATGTCTGTGTGCAATGAATGAATATAATATAGAAATTTCACTTTTTGAATGCAATTACTGAAATAAATCAACTTTTTCATGATATAATTTTATGACCGGCACCTGTATTTGCATCTCACTTCTTTGTGGCACATTTTAAATGTTCTGTGTGAGCCCGCTTCCTCCACCTCCACTTCTTTGTGGCGCATGTTTTAAATGCTCTGCAGCATGAGTCCTTATAAAACCTTCTGTTGCTGCAGCATCCCCATTCATGATTCCATCGGCATTTGCAAAAAAAAAAAAAAAAGACAAAAACACAAAAAACAAATAAGTAATTAGTAATATGCAAAGGCAATCTGGAAAATGCACAATGTCTTGCTGGGGCCTCCCCTAATACTGGATTAATAAAAAAAAACATCCCTGCAAATATTCATAGTTGGCTTTGAATTTTTTTGCCAATCACTTCACACTTGTCTCTGTACAATGTCCACTTGCTTTACTAACACACATTTATTTATCGTTTATTAACGTTTATTTAACCAGGCAAATCTCATCGAGATCACAGATCATTTTCAAGGGAGGCCTAGGCCTGAAGGCAGCCTAACATGCATGTTTTTGATCTGTGGGAGGAAACCGGAGTATCCGGAGAAAACCCACGCAAGCACCAGAAGAACATGCAAACTCCACACAGAAAGACCCCAGGTCCAACTGGGGATTGAAAATGGAAAACAGGAAATATCATTCAGGGAACAGTTGAAGTGCCTGACATCGTCATGGAGATGGGATAGTCCATGTACATTGTATACAGGAAAGGTTTTACCATACAGGTCAGGACAGAGCATGACAAAATGTTTGATTAGTTCTTCAGCATACTGGAGATAGGCCTTTCCAATTCTCTCATCTGACTCCAGCATTATTGACATGGCTACTGTCAGGGACAAGAAATGTTTGTATCTCACAGGGGATAACACAGGTTTTAAAACCACAGGTCCAGTGTACAACAAAAACCGCCATAGTTCAGTGGCTTTCCACCTATCCATTCCATGCAAGCCCCGTGGCTGCCGTGAAAACTCACTTGGCATCTTCCCTCTGAGTGCAACTAGTTTTTTAGAAATGTCATCCTTTTGTCTCACAGATAAGCGACATATTTTTGGGCCACGAGTCAAGTACAATAAGAGGCGTCTAACTACTCCCAAGCAGACCATATGCATATAATCCAATACAAATGTGCTAACACAAGGAATTCCTGCATCAATGAAGGGGCTGACATCAGTTTGGTGGTTCCTGTACTCCACTCTGGAAAAACTGTCATCTGTTCTAGAAGCGCATTGCTTCTCACTGAAAACCATTCTTCCCTCAACACGAGTACCTCTTATTAAACATCTTTCACAGCTCTCATAGGAAGCATGACCCTTAATACATTTCAGATACGCCCTTGCTGGCGCGTCACAGATCAGAGCATTAATATTTACAGTGTAAGTCTGGCCTTCATAAACGATACCATTGGCTTTGATACTACAAGATGTTTGTACTCAGTCACAAAATCTTTCAGATATTCCTGAAGTGGACTTGGCTTACTTTGTCCACTGAACATAGCAACAACAAATGGATCCCAATTACCACACCTCACTAGTATTGGCCAGAATTGGACACTGCTGCTTTTGAAAAGTGGGACACCATCAATGTTTACAGTAATCTGCACATCGTTGCTCTTTATCTGGCTTAAATAACGACAGATCCCCTTCTCTAGGCCATAGTACATGTACTGCCCACCACATTTAGGCTCCGTGGTGTTACATTGTGGTGTAGCAAGTAGTGTACGACAATCCACAGGCAATGTGTGTCCTTGCTTTCTTAATATGGCCAATAAACCATTAAGTGCTCTGTGTGTCAATGCGTGTTCTAAGGCCCATTGTCTCAGGTCATCTTGAAAGCTGCTGGTCACCTCAGCATCATCATTTGACTCCTCCTCCGAGGAGGATGACCAGTAGTCCATACCAGCATCAAAGTCTAAACTACCGGTATCTGAAGTCTCAACACGGTCACTGTTAAAGCTATGTGGGGTCACAGGCACACTGCTGCAATTATTTTCAATGCCTTGTAGCTCATCTTCACTGTCAGAATAACGTAGAAGTAGATCGAGGTTTCTTTTGTGTTTTCGCCATGCTCTCATTCTTAAAGTCATCTGTAAACAGATTTGAGTACGAGTTAATCTAGTTTTTGATTATTTTACATATCCAATGCAAAGGGGAGGAGAATGGGGCCACAAAACATACCTTACTGAGGTAGTTTAACTCCTTATTCCAAGTCCAGATTCAAAAGACACCACATAGGAAAAAAAAAAGGTTTATAAACACAACTAAACCTCTGGAGTGACATGTTCACAGATATATTTATATTAGTCAGAATGTAGTTGAGTATATCCCAAATAAGTATTTTGCCATGTCAAAATATAATTAAAGATATCTTAAAAGGAGACGTACCATGCTTTTTTCATATTTAATCATTCAATTGAAATGCTTTGGTCTGCATTCAGGGCATCTGGACAGGGTTTTTTTTGTGCTGAAACATTTACCTTCCATCCAGCTTCATCAGTCTAAGAAAAACAAAAACAAGCAATAATGTGTTACCTCCGTAATTCAACGCGGAATAAAATTGAATAATAACAACAATAATAATAACAATAATAACGATTTTCTTCAAATAAATAATAAGGTAACTACTAAAAGTTGTAAAAAGAAAAAAAAAGAATAGAGGAAATGCATGTTAAAAAAATTACGTCTATATGACCTCCAAGTCTGACGTTATTTTGACGTACAAATGCGGTCATGGTTAGACGTCCAAAAGTGGACCTTGTTTGCACGTCCAGAAACGGACTCAATATAGACGTAATCTGGACGTCCATTAGACGTCTAATGTTTAGTGGGTTCGGATTTAAAGTCAGCTGCTCTGCCGCTGCACCATCTCTGTGTGGCTAACAAAGCTAAAGAAACAGTGTATTTGACCATCTACTGTGCAACAGGAAGCCACACACTACAGATACTAGGTTTACAATTTAATCATCACTCCTTAAATGTCACTAGAAACAGATGGACTAAGTTTTACAAATAAATCACTTTTTAATTTGTTTCCTTTATCCTCTTTACTGGATTAACAGAAATAGCTTCGAGAAAAAATAGCAACAGTTGGTTTATGAATGAAGCCGTGCAAATTTATAATCATAAAAGAGTAACTGTGCACAGTTACTCTTTTATGATCATAAATTATGATTGTAAATTTTATGGTTATAAAAATTATGATTCACTAAGGCACACCTGCACCTGTTTTGGATGTATATACGACCTCCAAGTCCGACGTTCAAACATTCGACTTTATATCGACGTACAAGTGACGTCATGGTTAGACGTCCAGAGTGGACTTTGTTTGCACGTCGTGGAGACGTCCAGAATTGGTCTAGACCGACGGACTCAATATAAACGTGATCTGCAAATCCATTCGACGTCTAATGTTTAGTGGGGAGAGATCAAAGGGATGACTGTCACCATTCAAGATTTTAGCTCTAATGTTTGTAAAAATTGACTGTTACAGCTATTTTTGTGTTTACTAATGTCATTTAGCTGTTGCAGCCGTCTTTAATTGGGTCCATCTATCTATTATCTTCTGCTTGTTCCTGAGTCAGGTTGGGGGGGTAACAGTCTGACATCTTTCACAGCCACATCTATCCAGCTCTTCCAGGAGGATTTCAAAGCATTCCCAAGCCTGCTGAGACAGCCTGTCCTGGGTCTTCCTTATGACCTCCAGCTAGTTGGACATGCCTGAACACATCCTTAGGGAGAACTCCTGGGGGTATTCTTACCAAAACGAACCGTCTGACCCCTCTGTGGAGAAGCAGTGACTGTACTCCGACTCTGCTCTGAAGGAGGGTCCGGCTACCCTGCGAAGAAAACGTAGACTGCCTAGAACCACAATCTTGTTCTTTCGATCACAAAGTTCGTGAACACAAGGGGGGTGTAGAAACGTAAACTGACAACAAACTGCCTGATTTTAATTTGCTTGTGACAAATTCCTTTGTTTCTCACAATTTCAGTCATGGCGTCAACGAACGAGGAGGAAGAGATTGCTTGCCTCTTGGAAAAAAAAAAAAGGCCATTAAACCAGACCACGGATGAAGAAGGGGAATTAATACATCCATGTTGCATACAAAACAGTCCATCGCCAGACAGTTTATTGGGTGACACAGAGTATGCATATGCAGTCGTAAAAATTAATCTTTGCATGGACATGCAAATCCGGTACACGTGGACTGAGGTCTGCCTGACTATGTGGGAACCTTTAGGCTGATGGTCCTTCTTTACCATGTGAACAGCTAGTTTTGAATGTCAACAACAAACTGGTTGATCCACTATGAGAAGGTGCTATTTATAAGACTGAGCTTAGTACAGCTCCTCAGACTGAAGAAGTCTTTCAGATGAAAGAGGAAATGTTTCTACAACTTTAACCCATCCAGAGGACCTGACTTAAGTTTTTTAAAAATTTCTACCTGAATTATTGAGCATGCATCAGGATATCTTGAACTCATTTTTTTATGGTTAAATAAAGTTGATGCCAGAAACAAGGCTTGATGTAAAATAAATAACCCTGGCAACAGTCTGTAACAACATGTATTTTATAGATTCTAAACAATAAAACATAGTCGTTCTGTAATAGTTGATCTCCATGAATCAGGGTGAAGCACAGTTTCAGAGTTTGTTGCTGTTCACACCGGTGCTGCTGCAGTTCTTCTCCTGAACAGCAGGTGTCGCTAATGAATCTTCACTTCCTGTATTGTCAGTCAGAACTGAGCGAAAATCTTTAAAAAGTCCATTTAAACACTGATTTGTAGAGCAAATAAAGTCAAAAGTTTGTTTCAAAATTGCTTAATATAAAATAAAACACTCCTAAGAACCGTTTCGCACACACGTAGTGCTTTTTTTTAAAAATAGTCAACATAATTCCCTAGTACTTGTTAATTCATTGATTGCTAGCGGTGCCATGAAAAACCAAGACAGGCTGGTTTAAAGTCCTTTTTTCGTGAAGCAGCCGTAGACCTTCGCTGTTTAGTCATCAGTCGTGGTGAGAAGCGGGGAGAAATCGTCAGAGAGGAATCTGAAGGGAGATGGTTCCCCTCCCCCTCCCTTCCTTCTCCGTCCGCTTCACAGCAGCAGCAGCGGGACGGAGGCACCTCAGTTTCTGAAGCCGTGGCATGAATGATCTCATCTGAGCCCTGTCTCCGCTTTCTCTGCCGTCGATCCTATGACGGGAACACGGGAATAAAATAACAGAAACACGAGGTGAGTACAGCTACCTAACCTCTCGGCAGTGGTAGTGCTTTTAAAGGCAGGCGCCATGGTGTGCGCTTATTTATTTATTTTTTAAGGAAAGAGGGGGGAACATTTAAACATCCCAGCCGCAGCGAAAACTTGTTTTTGGCCAGAAAGGAGGAAGAACGGCGGAGGATGTGTGGGTGGGAGCTTTTTAGCTTATTAGCTTTCCGCTTGTTATAATTGTTTTTTGGGGAAGTGGGACGTTGCTTACTGTGGCCGGTTGAGTGTTTTATACCCCCCAGGAGTGATCTTTTACCGTTTCCCTAAACATATTCGGACTGTGAGCTAGCCGCAGCCCGTAAGCCGAAACCAGTTAGCCTAGCTAGCCGGCTAGCTGTTAGCCGGCTAGCTGTTAGCTCAGATCAAAATGGCCTCATTGTCGCTGAAAAGACAAAGCATGCGGCACTCACGGCTAGCGGCACCATTTAAAGTCATTTTAACGGCGCTAACGCGGTGATTTGCTTTTCAAACATTGCACATGTGATAAAGAATAGGTTGGCGGTTTTGTTTTCTTTCAAGTTTTTATTTAACCGTGTGGTAAAGCGAGCTAAGAAAGTGCAGCCTTTTGAGCGTGCGGTGGGGGATGGGGCAGGAGCGGACCCGGTGACGTGAAGCGGGGCTGCATTTTGTTTGGCCCCGGCGCCCTGAACAACAACAACGTTTACACTTTAACCTCTTCACAGTTGCATTCACTGACACGCTTATTTAATAATTTAGCTTTAGTGTTAGACAGTCCTGATTAACTCTGTGTCACAAAGAAAACAAAGCTTAAACTGAGACAAACATCATACAAGCGTGACATTTCCGCAAAAATAAAGGGTGTTAAATTTAACCAAAAAATGGCGAAAATCTGGAATAAATTACCAATGAGAAATGAGTAAATTATTCTTTTGTTGTTTGCCCAGCCGGGGAGGGTGCAGCTGTTCCTGCAAAAGGGAGGGGGGCCTCTGAGGGGAAAAGGTTGGGAGCCTCTGATGTAGATTTTAATTAAATTATCTTATAAATCATCTAGATTTTTGTCACAACAATGAGTGAACTGAGCAAGGCCAGGTCAGAGGTCAATCGGAGATGAAAGTCCACGCTGAAAACAATGCATTTGTGTACTCCTGTTTATTTTTTTCATTTCCACTTCACAGAAATTTTGGTCACAGTTGGCAGATTATTAATGAAATTCAAGAGTGGGAGATAATTGAGAATTTTGTAAAAAAAAAAAAAAAAATTGTTCACAAAGTCACCATCTACCAATCCAAGTAACTATAAAAGATAATCTGCCCTTCAATTTAAATAGGTATGTCTGTTGAAATAGTCCTACTTTAATTTCATTTTAAACTGACATTTATTTCTCTTGGGTAATCCCTTCATATAATGTTCAGTGTCCTTGTGAAGCTTGAGGATTTCCCTTTATTCCATATAGGGCTGGAATTCCAGACATCACTCCATACCAATTAAAATTTAGTTTTTATACCTGCACTTTCGTAAACAAAATAAGCTTGTTTCTTCTTGTAACGTGATAAATCGTAAAATTTGTACAAACTATGTATCATTTTGATCATTTTAAATTTGAGATTTTGTAACGCAAAAAAATACGTATCGTAATTATTGAAACAATGTTTTAAAAAATATTAATCTCAGGCTGCTGATCAACGGTTAGCATGGATGCTAATTTAACATAGAAAATACCATAGAAAAGCTAACTGGATTAGCATTGTGTTTATCTTTGGACATTTATACACAAACCAGACTTTTTTAGTCATTATCAAAGACTATCCAGCAAAGTTAAGTCAGGTCCTCTGGACGGTTTATTTTGTTGAAACATTTTGTCTTTCATCCAGAAGACTTCATCAGCCCGAGGAGCCGTTACAAACTCATTCTTATACATAGCACCTTCTCAAGTTTGAAGGTGCTCAGGTGGTTTCTGTCATTCACCCTCTCCACCACCGATTAGTTTCAGGCAGACATGGCCAAAGTGGTTCAAAATATCCTGATTCATGCTCAATAATTCAAGTAGAAACCGTCCAGACGACCTGACTTAACTTTGTTGGATTTGTCTACCTGGATTATTGAGCATGAATCAGGACTATGTTATGGTAGCTTCAACTATTACAGATGTTTATTTTAGAGTTTAAAGCCACAGTTTTATTGCAACATATTTTATATCCAATTTTGTCTGTATTTTCTACATTATGGAGTTCATATTGCTTGCGCTTTAAAACTTGCTAAAAAAATTACTGGTTTGAATCAAATGAATACACGTTTTTGTTTTTTTTTTTTATTACCACAATTTTGTTTTAAAGGAACTACAAAACCTCTCGAATAAACGAGAAATGGAACCAGTTTGTGATAATAGGATGAAACTGAGCTTGTAATTAAAGTTTAGGTGACACTTGTTGGGGTGAACAGGAGTTGTGACACGGAACAGCCGTCCTGGAGCGTTAACTTTCATTTTGGTTTCCACAGAAACACAGTGGTGGTAAGCGTTTTACAACAAATTCAACTTGGTGTGATTACATATTCAGAAGAGACGCGACCACAACTGGAAATGTTCAAACACGAGGAATCACTGACCAAGATGCTCCCCTACCCACATTTATTTAAAAAGGGCGCACAGTTTGCCTCTTCCTGATTAATGGAAAATTAAACACCACATGTTTCTATTCAGAGCTTCATCTAATTTTTAATGTGATCCCTGTTTTTATTTTCTTTTTTAGAGGCTTTCTGTTGTCCGAGGTGTTCTTGTAGTAGCATTTCATAAAAATGTGACTCTACCTCTTTTTTTCCTGTTTCCTCAGTGAAGACAAAGTGGAAAATCTCGTCCTACTAGTTTTTGAAGTGTTGCATGTGTTGACTTGGCAACCCGATTGTAAATATTAAAGGGTCACAGCGGTTATAATTGCAATATGAATTACAAATGTTTTTATTTTCCATACTATAACTTTTATCCTTTATTTTAGATCACATGTGGAAATGGAGCACTTATTATATAACCTGATTGCTGTATTTTTATTTATTTTGTATTCTGACAAGTCTCTGTAGACTGTGCTTATTTTGATGCAGCGTGTGCGTTTAGTTGGTAACTATGCTATTTTCGGTGGCTCAGTGGTCTGTTAAAAGTGTGGTTGTTCCGCCCAGCAGGAGCCTTGCCTCAGACTGGCCTAAAATGTGCAGAAATGGCGCTGAACAAAAGCTGCGTCTCGCTCGTACAAAAGTACTTGAAGCGTTGCAGCCAGGACCAAGCTGCATTACTATTGCCTGTGCCTCTCAACAGGAAAGGTATAGCAAACTAAGAAAAACAAAAAACCCACAACAAACTATTCTCTGTAATTCAGACTGTAAATTTGTATTCCATTTGTAAAGTACTGTAGACCTAAATTCCTCATGTCCACACAAATTTTACACCACATACCCTCATTAGATCCCACATTAATTTAAAACTTTTACACACAGACACAGAAAAATCTGTTGGTATCTTTTCGTTAATATTAATCCACAAAGGTCACTCAAATAACCTTAGACTGGCAAAAGTAATAGTAACTATAATGAATAAATAAATAATAGTAAAGACCACTTATTAAAAATAAGTCATTGTTTTTTAATTTTGGTTTAACAGAATTTTAAAAAGCAAACGAACTAATGAAGCTGGTCTCGACAAAATGGTACCCCTAGAAATGACTACAATAATTTGTCTATACGTGTTAAACTATGGTGTCTTTTTATGGTCACAGGTAGTCACAGGGCTGATTGGTATCATGGTGTGTAACACAACACAAAGCTGAGAGTTGTCTCAGGAGCTTGGAAAAAAATAATGGCATGTTCTAGGTAAAGTAAACTTGACTTTAAGACCAATTTGATGTTCATCTGATTACAGCTGCACAGATTATTAAGAAGGTTAAGGTCCACAGGACTGGAGACAACCTGCTTGGACTTGTCCACTAGAGGAAAACTGAGGACAAATTAAAGAGACCGATAATATAAATGCCAACCTCTGGGAGAATGTACAATGGATAGATGAGACAAAACAGGAGATTTTTGCAACAAGTCCCTCAGCTCTTTGTTCACAGGGTGTCAGATCTGTGCAGGGAACAATGAAATCTCAAGACTATCAAGACATTCTGCAGTGAAATGTGTTGCCAAGTGTCTGAAAGCTTGGGCTCAGTCACAGGTCATGGGTACTCCAACAGGACAATGACCCAAAACACACAGCTAAAAAAAACAAAATGGACCAGAACCAAATATTGGACTGTTCTGAAGTATCCTTTTGAGCCCTGATTTAAATCCTGTTGAACATCTGTGGAAGGCTTTGAAACATCTGTAGAAGAAACCTTCAAATCTGAGACAGCTGGAGCAGTTTGAACATTAGGACTGGACCAGAACACCTGTGTGGGCAGGTGGACCAGAAGTCTCAAGAGTTTTACAGTAATTGTTTGGTTGACCCAAAAGGTTGAGCAAGAAAATATTAAGGAAAAAGAATTACTGGTATCTTTTTTTTTTTTTTTTTTTGTCAAGGCCAGTTCCATGAGTTTATCTTTTAAAATATTTTTGTTAAACCAAAATTCTAAAGCAACAACTGATTTCAACGAGTTGATTTTCAATATTTTCTATTTAATTTAGTCAGTTTCAAGTTATTTGATCGACCTCTGTGGGTTTCTCTTTGTCTTCTGAAAAGGTCCATACGTTTTTGTCTGCGTCTGTAACACTTAGTCTCTATGTTTATCAGTAAAACTGATTGTGATGATGAATTTGAGGTGTTCAGCCAAGTTTTCTCACTCTGTGTCTTCTCACCATCACAGCAGAGAGACAACATGTTCCTGAAGGGCACCAAGCGCAAGTTCTCCGACCCTGGAGAGGAGCCGGTTTCCAGTGGTGACCAGGGCCCTGCGTCTTCGTCTGCTCCGTCTCGGACGCTGTTGTCCTCCTACAGCCTGCAGCGGCAGTCGCTGCTCGACATGTCGCTGATCAAGCTGCAGCTGTGCCACATGCTGGTGGAGCCGAACCTGTGCCGCTCTGTGCTCATAGCCAACACGGTGCGGCAGATCCAGGAGGAGATGACCCAGGACGGCACCTGGCAGATGATGACTCAGGCCCTGGCAGCCGCCCAGTGCCCCGCTGACCGCCTGGTGGCGACTGAAGTACTATGCAGACAGACTGATGCAGCGACTCAGGCCGGGCAGAGCCCAAAGCCCGTCTCCGTGGTGGGTTTGGAAGAGGGGTACCACTCGGAGGAGGTGGTGATGGAAAGCGATGTGGAGACTGAGGCCATCATGTCCACGTTGTCCCCTGTCTCACCACAGCTGTCCTCGGCCTCTTACTTGGCCGGTCCATTTGGTATGGGACCCTGCTGGGAGGAAGAAGAGGAAGATGGTGACTGCGAGGAAGACGAAGAGGAGGACAGCGAGGAGTGTGTGTCAGAGGGGGAGGAAGGGGACGAGGACCATCTGAGCGCAGACTCCAGAACAGGGGACAAGGTTTTTGGGACTTTTGAGATCAAGCACCCGGTGCCGCCCCCTGACCCTGGACTCGAGGAGCTGTTTTCAGACGTGGACCCGTCCTACTATGACCTGGACACGGTGCTGACTGGCACCCCCAAAATGGGGCCTTACGATTTGCTGGAGAGCCTGTCCTCTCACGGGTCAACAGCCCTGAGCTCCAGCTCGAGCTGCAGGTCTGACCTGAACGAACTGGACCACATCATGGAGATCATCGTGGGGTCGTGAGACTGAGACCACATCCCACAGACTTGTATCCCAAACTATGCACAGAACACGTGCATGTTTCTGGTATTGTTACACACAGATTGTTGGGGGGGTTTGATAGCAAGTGGGGAAAAAACAAGTTAATTTTCCTTATCAGTCGAGCTTTTATTACCGTAAACATCCAGTGAGCGAAGCAGTCGACTTTTACCTTGATAATAAAACCCCAATCTTTATTATGTCTGATAAAAATTTTCTTTTCCATGATGCATTCTTAATTTGCGTATTTTCCATGTTTGTCTTTGAAACATCCTGTCTTAAGCCCATTCCTGCCATTAAGGTTTATTTACTGTTACGAGCTTCATCACACTACAGACACCAGAATCCAGAACAAATTGTAAATCCAAATCTATTAACCAATGCATATTTTCTTAGGGTGTGAGCAAATATAAATGATATATATGTATATGTACATATATGTAAATAGAAAATATTTTTTGCATTATACAGTTAGGGGATTTTTTGCAGGCATTGTTTATTATTTTTCCCTCTCGAGCGGTTTTTAAATTTTTAATGTAGCCAGACTTTTGCGAACGGTGTCTTCCCGGTTGGCTGTGAAAAGGTGTCAGGACCGGCGTCGTGACGCCCGATTAGGCGCTGTTCTCTCGTTTTCTGCAAAAGTTTTCTGCAGAGCAGGAAGGTTACTTCCAAACTAATGTGATTTCTCACGTTTTGGTTTCAAAATATAAAGTATTTTTCCAGTTTTGCTTTCAGATCCAATAATGAGGAGAAGCTGTTTTGGAGAAGCCATTATTATTTCTGCCATTTGTTGCTACAAATGAAATCTGTATCAACCCATCTAATTTATTATTTTTATTTATTGTATTTATTTTATCTAGGTACAGACATGCCATACTGATTTACAAACCCAACAACTAGGCCCTGTAAAATTACATTTATCCTATTTTTTTCCTCCATTTTTGGTTGCAGTACATATTTATTCCTTTTTTTTTTTTTTTTTTTACTTCTATTAGTAATAACTGGGGTAATGTTCAAATTACTATGCAGCTCTTTCATACATGACTGTAAACAACTCAAATGCTCTACACCCATTTATGCAAACAGTTGCCTTTCTCCTGAATATGCGAAAAGTGAAATGCATTTTATTTCCCAAATTGTTTCTGTATCATGAGTGAAATGTAAACTCAGGCAAATGAAATCTACTAAAGTACAGTATTACAACACGCTGAAAACCTTACAACACTCCTGAAGGATGTCACTCTGGTTTGAATGGGAGCTAGAAGTTCAAAGACTAATTATTGTTGTAAAATGTATGCATTTTTTATATTAAAGTACATTGTAGCATCTTTGTAAATATTTTTCATAATAAAAATTGCAAATATGGACAAGTGGCTATTATCAAATCATTTTCCTTAAAGTTTTGAAGCAAGTTTTCAGTTAATGAGAATATTAGAGTTTATTTCTTTAAGAGTTATTTCTCATTGATTGCATATCTGTATTGGAACCACTTAGAGAAAACACATTTGTTTTTCAGGGGGGAAATCAATACTACTCCTAGAATAGGGCTTCAAAGTGGTGGAATCTTTCCGTGAGATGTTAAAATAGCGAATTATGGAAATTTACATGGAAATACAGTAAACAATTTTTTAAAAGTAATTATAGTTAATAAAATCAGCCATTAATGCATTAAATTCCAGATTTACCTTAAACTTATTTCCCATGGAAATTTTTCAGCTTTATAAAGGGCAAAAGGCTGCCTGAAACATAAACATAAAAAAGGATAGCTACAAGGAACAAAACAGATAAAATCTAAACAAACTGCAAAAGGCTAGTTAAAATCTAAAGGCTAAAAGGTAAGACTTATCAAAATGCTATCTAAAAAGGTGCAAAGCACTAATTAAATACCAATAAAAGTCAAAAGTAGCTAAATGCTAACTAAAACAATAACTAAGCTATAAGGAACAAAGCTAAAAAAAAAAGCAAAATACTAGCTAAAAGCAAAAAAAAAAAAAGCTAAATGTAGCAAAAGGCTTTCTAAAAGAAAGCAATAAATCAAAATAAAAGATGCAAAATTCTAGCTAAATGGCAAAAGTAGAAAAATGCTAATTAAATGGTAATAGTATAATGCAAGCTATACACTAAATGTATTAAAAGGCTGGCTAAACATGGCAAAAAAAAATTGGGTAAAAAGTAAAAGTAGCTAAATGTTTTCTAAAACGCAAACTAAGGGGGGAAAGCTAGTAGTAGCATAAGGCTAGCTAAAAACTATGTTCCAAAACTAGATAAAAGCCAAAAGTAACCAAAGCTTGACTAAAAGCTAAATGTAACAAAAGTGTAGCTGAAAGTTTACCATAGCTAATAACAGCATAAGAAGAGAAATAAACAGCCAGTAGCGAAACCAGATCTCAGAGTTTTCATGTGTTTGTATTCATAATGTTTTTGAAGGATTTAAAGATGATTACTGGTAAAAGTATTTCTTATGAGAAAACATTTGTAAATAAAAAAGGTAAACATTTGGGTAGATAAAAGTTACAAAAAATAAAAGTCACAGCAGCCATCTGAAAGAACTGAACATTTTGACATATGAATGACTAAAAAAACAGGAAATATTAAAATGTAAATGAGATGAGAGTTGTTGTTTGACATGAATATTTGTCCCCACCTGGTCGACTGATGTTGGACTGTAAGGCAAGATATGGACAGCAGACGGCTATTCTCAATGAAAACCAGATTTGTCGTTTTTCACATTAAGATACTCGTCATGGAGATATTGGTAAGTGTTCATAGAAGTAAAGCTTGCCTGCTGGTTAGATTGTAGTTAAAGATTAATCATCTCCTGATGATTCAGCATAACGACTCATAGGAGTGGGGGTAAGCCATCAGAGAGAGAAAATGCAGCACAAGGAAAAGAACAAGCAACAGAAGTGTGAAGGAAATCCAGAAACAATAAGTAAATGAGGAATGGATGGACAGAGTGAACCAAGGGTTTCCTTATTTGGTGTTTGTCTTTTCCTTCATCCTTCTGAGTCATCGGTTCCTTTAAAATGCTGCGTTCAGGAGCTCAACACAGCATTCCAGGCCTTCCAGATATTTCTCAAACTGACTTGGTAAAAATCCATGAAAGCTTGCATAATTCAACTGAATTTATGATTGAAATCAGGTTTTTAGACATGGTTCAGACGGCTTTACGTTGTATCTTCCCCACATTTGGCAGAACGTTGGCCTCCACAACAATGAAACATGTCTGAAAAATAAAAAAGTTTTAAACGCTAATAAAGCCTTTAACATTTCTACTATATGAAATACTTTCAACAAGAAGTCCTCTCAAGCTCAAACGAATGGGACCATTGGCACAGTTCCGGTCAGGGCTCTGCTCTAGGACACGCACAGTTGTCATTAAGTCCACGTGTCATCCATTGTCTTCGCGGTGTGCTTTGGACGACTGTCATGTTACGAGGTGAAACTTAGACCCAGTCTGAGGTCTGGGTCACCGGTTTTTAATTTTATTTCTTTTTTAATATATTTTTGTTTTTTTCTTATAGCTTTCCTCTGTCCCTGACCAGTCTCCTAGTCCCTACTGCTGAGCAACACCTCTCCAACCCACATCATGACACGGCCACCGCCATGCATTACAGTGGGGATGAGCCAGCAATGAGCAAAGTGTGACCTTTGATCTTTCAAATTTACTGCATCACAGACTTATCTGCTTTTTACCAACAAAATGGGGGGAGTGGTGGCGCAGAGGTTAGAGAAGGTGGGTCTGTGATCGGAAGATCGCCGATTCAAGCCCCGGTACCAACATCAAAAATGTGGGTGGGGTAGGTGAAGCACCCACACCTGCACCCACCCTCATTCGCCCCACCCTGGACCCATGAGCAAGGCCCTTAACCCCCATCTGCTCCCTAAACAGGTCTCTCTTGAAAATGAGTTCTCGTGGCTCAATGAGACTACCTGGATAAATAACGGATAAATGGAAAAAAAAAAAAGAAGCTTGTAAATAGTGGTGTAGTCTACATTTTTGTAGTGGATATACTGTGCTTAGAAACCAAAGTACACTGACTAGTACAACGTAATCGCCAATTTCTTTGGATTGTTAAGCATATTGAACATTTCCAAATTTCTCTGATGCTTATTTCTGAATAAATGAACAACAAACTTTGTACAACAGTTAGCTTTGTATTAAAAACATGTTATAGACTTTATAAAGCAGTTTCAAAGCAATTATTAAGTAGTAAGTACAGAAGTACTAATTATACAATAATTCTCTGGATAAGCAAATGTAGTAAACAAGCGCTGCATGCCACTAGTTATGGAAACATTTAACTGCCATTTAACATATCAGTGGCACGTGCCTAATGATACGTCATGTATCATTGGACACTTTTAAGTGGGTATACTGAAATTTTTAAGCTTTTCTAGTGGGTATACTCCATATACCTGTATATCACGTAGACTACACCAGTGGAATGAGATGTTTTACCCCACCTATTAGCCTTTTAACCATTATACAGTTTATGTGTTTATGACCATTGCTTTTATTTGTTTGTAACATGAAGAGTATACATTCTTTTGACAATCACCTTTAAAGTTTATTTGATTTCTTAAAATTTTCTCAAGTTTGAAAACCCCCAGGGGGTAATTGACAACAACTTTGGAAATCACTGGTCTAGTCTGGCAAATGCCAGGTAATACATGATTAATGTCTGTCAGTTTTGGTCAGTATTTTTTTTTGTTGTTGTCAAACCTATATATTACACTTCTTATTTATAAAACAATAATATATTTTTTCAAAACCGCCATATGGTTAAAATAAAAGACAGGAAACAAAAAAAACACGTGTACTCTGATTTGTACGAGCTGTTCCTGAATGCGGCGGAACAAACCTTCTGCACATTCGCTGCCCCGTGAGAGGAGGACGCCAAGGTTTGACTGACATTTAAACGACCCAATCCTCGTCCTTCCTTCTACGTTCTACTTTCGAATTTCTGCCTGAAGCTCCGCCTTCTTTCTGGGCGGAAGCACCGCCTTATTTAGCTAAAGCCCCGCCTTTTTTTCCTGAGTTGTTGCTGCGAATGGATCTTGAAGCTCCGCCTTCCTCTCCCCACCCTGCTGCTTAAGCCGCACCTACTTCCTACCTCCCTTCCAAATCTCCGCCCCTCTCACGTTGTAGCCCCGCCTCCTCCCCTTTGCTCCGGTAGATTGACTGTTCTTCTTCTTTCCTGACACTCCGGATCTCCACAGCACCGGAACGTCGCGATCTAACGAGTCCAGGAGGACAGTACGTTTTAAACGCTACATGACACGACTTTTCAAGGACACGTAAGGATATTTTTTATTATCTACTTCGTTGTTTTAAAAATATTTTTATATATTTCCTCACGTTTTTCCTTTTAAACTTCCTTTAAACGCAGCTGGGGGAGCTGTGATCATATGGGGTTCTTGTTAAAAAAAAAAAAAAAAAATATATATATATATATATATAAAAGGTTGGAATAAAAAGCTTGTTCTTGTTTATGAATGTAAAAGTAAAATATTGAAATGTCAAATATCAGATTAGGGTTTATTCCTTCCTATATAAACCTAGTCTAAAGAGCTGAAATCCCTAATAATTTAAATTTAAACTATCATTTGCAGTTTGGTTCATGTTAGTGGTAAAAGAGGGGGTGATTTGTGGGCAGTTAAAGGAGAAATAAAGTCTGTCAGACTGCAGGGGTGTCTGCAGTGAGTCACAGCATTTCTCTGTTAAATGGAAGAAGAAGAAAAACCTTGCATGTCCTGCTCGTATGTTTGTACAGTTTGTCCAGTATTCATCTGCAGGAGAAGCATGCTTGATGTTGGTATGACATCTTTATATTTGAGCTAATAATACCAACTTTACATGGGTTTTCTCACGCAGGGTTTAAGAGTCACCTCCCTGAAGAATGTGCTGTAAATTCAGCTAGTTTCAGGAAGTATTGTTGAAGTTTAAACCCCTCAGTTTGACCAAGGAGGCTGTGGGGATTGAAATATGCTGAAAAACACGTCTTATAGCAGTGAGAGGCTCAGGAAGATGAATAAACTGTACAATAAAGTTTGGACCAGGGGTGTAGCTATGGGTGGGCCCGGGGTGCCCTAAGCCCACCCTTAATCAAGGCTGGTCCAGTCAAAAGACCTTCAGTTTTCTTTAATTTTCTTCCTTAATTGCTTTCTGTGTGCTGAGGTGCTCTACCTCGATGGCTGTGAGTCCAGGTTGCATCAGGAAGGACGTCCAGTGTCAAATTCCATATCTTTGTTGCATGTTCACTTGCTATGGCGCCCCCTGGAGAAGGGAGTAGCCGAAGGAAGGATTTATTTTTTTTGTGCTTTAATAAACATAAAGAGTTTACAATTACAGATAAATTAAATAATCTTAATAGTTTAAATAGTAATGGATTGTGTGTTAGCTTCATGTCTGTATTACCTGTGGATGACAGTTTATTATTACAGTTTTAAAGTCGTGTCTGAATTATTTAATTTGTTCCATTAGGAAGGCCTGCAAGACTAAAAGTATCTCATTTGGTTTGTAGGCGCTTTAAAGCATGAATTAGTTTTGTTAAGTTATTCAGAAAAGAAATACCTTTGTATCTACAAGCAAATCAAGCGTGCTTTGGTCAAAACCAAAAATTCAGATTCAATATTGACATGATAAATAGAAGTTTAAAGATGTTTTCTTTTACATTATATTATAAATATGATATTACAACTGACCAGACAATAAACTGTGATTTTTATGATTCAGTTTAGGAAACACTGGTCTACAGGGAAACACCTTGGCCGTCAACCAGACCAACACAGCAGCCAAAGACGAACAATTGATATTAAATCTGTAATGTACAGTTCAGTCAGAGGCTCTAAAATAAACTGAGTAGTTTCCAAAAAGTGGGTGGGTCTAGGTCATACCACACCCACTTGTGACCACGCGCATAGATAGCATCGTCCTGAAAAACATCTATCATCTTATTTTGTGCCTTTTTGCCTTGAGAGTGTTGAGATCTAGTTAAAATTAGACTCTAGCTGACAATCTCTCTACATCATCACAGGTCAATGTTGGGTCGAGGCGTCAAGCGAAAGAGAAGCTGCTTGGAGGAGCTGGAGGCCGAGGTGCTCCCCGATGCTGCGAGGAGAGTGGAAAAGAAGCCTCATGGGGACGAGGACGGAGACGAAGAAGAAGCCGTGTCCAGACCAGACATGAGCCACCTGCAGCAGCGTCAGGTGGTGCTCAGCCTCTGCTTGAAGAAGCTTCAGGACTACCAGGTCGGCATGGAGCTCAGCCTCCGCCGCTCCGTGCTGCTCGTCAACACGCTCAGGCAGATCCAGGAGGAGATGCAGAGCGACAGGACCAGAGGTCCGGATTTACACCTCCACAACATCAACCCCGACTCCTGTCTGCTCAGGGATAGCTTCGTAGAGGACGTGTCAGTGACGTGTCCCGGGTGTGCAGTGGGAAACTGTGAAGGCCCTGACTCTTTGCCGTTTCCTGAATGTCCCTCTCTAGAGACAAACATCTCCACGGAGCAGCAGAAACTTGTGGCCGGCCCGAGCAGTAACACTTTCAGCGACGCCACCAACACTGTGGGCTACCTAAGTGACCTGGCGCTGGACGATATCTTTGAGGACATCGATACGTCGATGTACGAGACTTCAGATCTGCTGTCTGCCTGCGCAGCCGGGTCTTTGTGGCCCATCAGCGTTTCACTTTGGCCCGACGAGAACATGAAGTCACATTCTCCCATCCATTCCACAGGAGGAGGTCTCCAGTCGTGTCTGATGGACCTGAATGAGCTGGACCACATTATAGAGATTCTGGTAAAGTCCTGATCACTGGAGCCACCCTGACTGAACCTGGGTGACCAGGGTTTGGACTGAACGAGGCTCTCCATCGGACTGCAACTGAACATGTGAAGTCCTGAGGCACAAACTCAACTGCTGGTACCTCGTTTATGAAGAACCGATATGCTTTTACGCTCGGGCTTTGAACTGGGTTTGTCTTCTGTCCATTTAATGTAAATGAACTCTGGCTTTACCCCGACTGTGACAATAAAACAATAATTTATAGCTTCACATATAAGTGACTGCATTGGAACACATGAACATGCAGAAGAATGTCCCAGACACACAGGAAACACAGAAAAACTGTGTTTCACGTGTTCGTTTGACGTGTTTTCAAATGTGAAAATGTGGTTTTCTACTGCTTGTGTGCACGTGGTTCCAAATTCACATGAGTTTTGCTTGATTTTTAACATGTGAAGGTGGTTTTTCACATTATATATATATATTTTTTGTACCAAAGTCACTTAAAAATTTGTAAAATTTGTGTTTTACAAATTAATTCGTCATATTTTTACGTGTGAAAACAACTGATTTTCCACATGTTAAGTTAGAGCTTTGTTTGTTTCTAAATTCACATGTGAAATGTGTAAAACCTGTGTTTTACATGTTGGTTTAACTCATTTTTACACAAGAAAACAGCTGATTTTGCACACAGCTGTGGTTCATGTGCGTTTCGTGCAAAAGCTTTGTTTTGCATGTGAAAACAGGTGATTTTCCACACGTGAAGCTCATGTTTTTGTTCTGAATTCACATGAGAAACGTGAACAAAACACGTGTAAAAAAATTAATTTAACACATTTTTACACGTGAAAGCTTCTGTTTCGTGTTTCTCCTCTTTACATGTTTTTCTGTAAGGGTAGAGGAAGCGTCTCGTTGTGTTTTCTCCACATGTTCTTTCGCCTGTTTGACCGATATCTGTCGAGGCGTCTTCCCTTTCCTGTTTTTCTCTCCTGGATTCTGCCTGAACGCAGCGGCACGTTTGTGGAAACCTCCGGCTCGGGTGAAAGCAGCCTGAGCGGCGCGTGGATCTGCCAGGCTGTCGGATCAGACCTGGGTTGATAATTAATTTGGAATCCCTGCTGCAAGCAGGAGGGCAAAGGCCCGGGTTTCTCCCAGCGCAGGGACAAACTGGTTCCTGTTGCTCAAAGTGAAAGATCAGCTAAAGAACTGTTGGTTATGATGTTAATTCAGCTGGTTGGTATGATCATGGGTACTAATTTCCCATTGAGTGATGCAATAGATTAGGAAACCATCAGATTAATAATATTTATATATGAATCACGAGCCTGCCTTTCGTCTGAGTGTAACCTATAATTTGAAAGTTTCAGCTGGTGAGCAGTCGGTACTCGTACCAGACTCGTGTATTTTTACGCACTTCAGGTTTTAGTGTTTCTACCTCACACTTGTTCCTGCTTTTACTCAACGCTCTACCAAAGTGATTTATCTTTATGCGAGTGGAAAACGTGCCTTACTACTGAACGGGACTGTGTTTGTTGATGTCTGAGCTTCTCGTCCTTTGTTAAAACCCCTGAAACCTTAGTTTTTAGGTAAAGCACTGAAAAGCCAGGGCTGCCTCCCCCTCTCTTGTGTCTGTCCATTTTCTGCGGCTGCTGAACACTACAGCCATATGAGCTTAATGTATCCTGACAAGCTGAGGGAGGAGGAAACCGGAGGAGGAGGGTGGGAGGAAGCTGTTTACGTCACTCGTTCATCAGGAGGGGGTTGAAGCTTGTTTTGCACCAAACCACCAATCACACGAGACGTGTCTGCAGCTCGCCGTCACTCCCTGCCACTTGTTTTTTGCTCCTGACGGCTCGGCACAAACACACAGCCGGACTGTAGCCGGGGAAGAATATCACCCTGACACTTTTTTTGTTTTGGCAGGACTTTTACTGAACGTAATAAAACTGGCAGCCCCGGTGTTATTTATGAGAACAAACTGTTTCTGTGGATTTTACTGCAAATGTAACAAAAGGATGAATATTGTAACATGGATTTTTGGGGAGGACTGTTTTATAGATTTTGTCCAATGTTACTATTAAAAACACACCAACTGTTAATTTGTAGTGTCTTTCTTGAGCTATTTATTTACAAATATGCCTAAAAACCAAAAAACATGGTGGATTTGCTCCTTTTTATTGAATATTTGTCGTGTTTTACCCAACTTTACTCTCCATTCATCAGTTAACGGTCTTGAACATCAATATTTTACATGATGTAAGCAGGTTTAGCATGTTAAAGCTGACCTCAGGGCATTGTTTTCCTCAGTATTTGGTTTATTTATGTGGTTGTTTTTCAGTCATGGCAGCCAGTAGCTAGTGTTGGAGCTGACTGCCCTCTGATGGTCATTTTAAAGGAAAGATCTTCAGCTAAATGTTAAAATTTTTTGAAAATGGGTCCTTTTTTTGTTACACAAACCCAGTGCAGAAAGCATCAGTGGTGGTTCGTCCAGTGAGACGCACTATTCAATGTCAGTTTTACTTCTTTAGCACATTAAAAGCAACAGAAGTTGACCAGAGGGCTTTACAAGTCAGTCAAACAAAAGGTTAAACAATAAAAGCTCAAATTAAATGCATAAATATAAAACCGTCTGCTTTCTTGGGTCTGAGCCTCTGCTCGAATCGAACAACCGTTTGGGTCACTATGGTAACCACACTTGAGTCTGTCACACTGACTTCTAAGAAACAGACTGAAAAATAAGCCTCAAACAGTTGCTGCTTGAAAACTAAATTATATCTCAAGTCTTGAACCGTGTGCAGCGGGAGGCATGGATGGGCACACATGTGAATATGTATGTTTTCTGAAGTGTTTTATTCAGGAGATATGAGTTTACCACTTTAACATTCAGTTTTAAAGGTAAAAAAATAAAATATAAGCTTATTAATGCTCCGTTGTGTGTTATGTGCACTGCAAATATCTCTAAAATTAATTAAAATTGAACTGTGATTGTTAAAAATATCAAATCACCAGTTCAGTCACACTTTCTGTGATTCATTTAAACTTTGATGTCTCGATTGTGAAGTCCGTCTGAGCTGACGAGCTACAGAGAGGACTGAGTTTTCTCACTTGTTTTGCCAAAATCCTGTTAACGTCAATACAATTTTTTTTTTCAGTTTTACACTAAACTTTTTTTTAAAGTCAAAGCACCCTAAATCGCCACTTTGGATTCTTTTTTTAACCATATACTCAGTCTGTGTGGATGATAAGTTCAAAAACAGCAGAGAATCTCTTTAAAATCTTTTAAAAATACAATATATCCACTTGTTGGACATTATGATTCTGATCTGCAGGACGTTTTGATGTTTTAGTGCATGTCCAGTCTAGAAGGAAAATACAGGTAAACCTTTTTGTTTACAATCAGAGAAGAATAAATGTCACACTTTAAGAGCTTTAAACCAAAGCTGACCTAGAAAGGTGCCGCTTTGTTGAGTCTGAACACACTTCTGTCTCAACTCGTGGGCTAGAAGTGACTCCTTGTGCGGCTGAATGTGGCTCGCAGGCTGCCAGTTGATGATCAGCTGTTCTACACCTTAGCTTTGTTGTGTTCATCTGGATTTTTCTCTGGAGAAACTCTTCGTCTTAACTGTGTGATAGGCCCTGCACGGACAGACAACCTAAGGTGATCCCGTTTGGACTCCAGGAGGAACGTGGTGAACGCACGCTCTTCATAGTACGGCCTCAGGCGATGCTTGTGACATTACTGCTTGTTACTCATTAATATGGGTAGGAAAGTGTACTTATACTTGCACATAAAATGCCATCTTAAATGCATGCACATAATACTTTATTATTTCCACCATTTTGTGGGTGAGAGGTTTTTGCATGCATATCTACTTCAACCAATCTAGCACACATCTGCTGCAGTGATAGGGTTAGTGCAGACACACATCACTGCTGCAGTGCAGTGAAGTTGGGCTTCAGCCAAGACAGCTTCTCTTCGTCATGCTGACTCAGCACACTGGAAGAACAACCGAGCTCTGCTGCAACAAACCAGTAGACTGGTTCAAGTGGATATATGATGTTATGATGTGGCAAAAACAACACGAGAGACTGAGAAAAGGCAACTTGTACACAAAACTATCAAACGTTGCGTTTGTAGCAGTGAGCAAAATCCTCTATGTCCCAAATATGAAGGTTGAATCTAATTGTACGGAGGTATATTTGTGCCATGTAGTTGAGCGCTTAGTGAGAGACTGCTGGGAACCATCAAGATTTTAAAAAGGTAGACAAAATTTCTCAGATTCTAGCCCATTATTCAAAATTAAAACCCAAATCTCTGTTCTTATGAACACACCTGCCACGTTGCATTTTTGGAACCAGAGTCTGTGCACTCTGGACGCTGTGCCGCCTGCACACCCTTCCAACTCGCTAACAAGCTGTCAATCACAGTGTAACCTGAGACGTTTCTATTCAACACACAGCAGTAAAGTAAGAGATACGTGAATCAGCAAAAAGAAATGCCTAAAAATGGATTTGAAGTGTATTTTTGTGTTTTAGTGGGGGGTAAATATCCTATTTGTTTACATGACAAGGGGGATCAAAAAATGTTCTGAAACCAGCCACCAGGGTGTGCTAAAGATATGTGGTTTCAACTTTAGTCAAAGCTTATCTCGATGAAGTACATGTGCAGCATGTTAATCTGAGTTCAGTGCATCATTTTTATACTGCCGCTTAGATTTGTTAATTTAACTCCAAGTTCTTGTCCCCCCCCCTCATTTTGTTGTTCATTTTTAATCATATTTGATATGATGTGAAACATATTAGATTGTTGTTTCAAAAAGTGCCATATAAATAAAGATGTTCTTACTTAAATATAGATATATTAAGGATTATATGTTAAGGACTGGCTTCTCTTTGTAAGAATTTTATTTTTCCAAAATTTTTGTGGATGTTTAGAGTTTGACGACCATCACATGGTAGGAATTTTTTGTTTTTTTTTGGTTGACAATATTTATTGGAATTAAATTAAATAATTATCCTTGTACACCCAGACTGTCATAAGCTGGTGCTGGCAAACCCAATGATGCAGGCAAGCAGTCGAGAACTCAAGAAGTACAGTAGTCCCTCACTACTTCACTGTTCGTTTTTCGTGGACTCGCTCTATCACGGTTTTTCAAAGTAAGATTGGACATGACACACAATTGGCTGAACGACGGATGAGCTGCACGATCGGCATGGAGTTTTTAATTAAAATAAATTTTAAAATTATTTAGCACCTGATACAACTTTGTGCAGCCCACAGCTGCAGGGAAAAAAAAGCTTCCTCCTGCACCTTTGTGCAGCCCACAATGCAGGAGAAGTTCCCTCCTGCAGCATTTCAGGACCTCCGCTCTGTAGCGGAGAAGTGGGCGTGGCCAAAAGAGAAGACATGTGGCAGAGTGCAGATGGAGGCAGAGAGCTGAAATCATGACATGCTGTGCTCTTTTAGAATTTAAAAAAACATTGTTTAGAATATTGCAAGAATGTGGTAAGGGTTTAAAATGCCCACACACTCACTAAAATAAACTATTACTACTTATACTACTATTCCTACTTTTTTCACTTATCGCAGGGCTTCAGGGTATGGATCCCTCGTGATAAACGAGGGACTACTGTAATATTAAATAAAGTGTTTATTTACAAAATCAAAAGGCTGGCAAGGCAGCAAAACTTACATGGAACATCTTGGAACAAACAGGAAGCAGACAGGTCATCACCAGGAGACAAATAGCAATGCCAGGACAACAAGGAAGACAAAAACACAGGCTTAAATAATTGAAACACAAATTAGACAAAGTGAAGACACCTGTGAAGAATCACAGGTGCCAAAGACAGAAGCTGAAGACCAGGGAATGCAAGACATAAACACAACACTAGATGGGGCCAGACACCAGGAAACAGAAACCCTACACAGATGTTTCCTAAAAATCCAAACTGGACAAAAAATTAAAATGAATCATGACCCAAAGAACAGTTATTGTGTAAAATGTTTAATCTTTTTTTTTTTTTTTTTACAAAAAGTGTGATAAAACAGCTGTATAGCATCTTGTGTTTTGCTTGTTTTGTTCTTTTTTCTTTATTTATGCATCAAAAACGACAAAATGTATAAAAATGTCACTTGGCGAATCGTAATCAAATATGTTGAACACCAGTTTACAGGGGATCCTTTTTTGGGATCATCGGAGTCTTTATATTTGTGTTGGAGATCAAGCTTTCTGAACCCGGTTCTTCAAAGCCGTGAAGAGGCTTGTGATGAACGGACTCTCCTTCTCAGTGAGTGTGTTGGTGCTGGCTGACGTTTGGTTTGGTTTTCTGTACTTTGGCGAGGACTTGACCAGGGTCTTTTTGGGCTTTTTCTTTGGAAAGCGAGTCAGTCTTGAGACCCCCATGACCTTGAGTTTGATCAGTGCCTCGGATATTCCCGCCATGTTTCGGGCCTGGCAGCGGTATTCACCGGCGTCCTCATACGACAAACCGTTCAAGCTGATTATGGACCAACGGACTCCAACTCGAGGAGATTCCTGAATGACTGAAACATTAAGAGGAACAGTTTTGGTTCAGAACAGAACTTAATTGGTAAATGGTTCTGTGTTGGTGGGTTGGGGTTTATCCTCAAGGGCAGGATGTAAATTACCATTGGCTAATACTACACCAAATTTTAGCTGAATATCTGTAAAATTCCCTTATTTTCACCTATTTTTATGTTGACTAAGGTCAATTATCTGTGGGGCCCCTCTTGAATGGGTCAGATTAAAAAAAAAAAAAAAACAGTTGTGGACCAGTGGTGCCCAATTCTGGTCCTTGAGGACCACCATCCTGCATGTTTTAGATGTTTATCTGCTCCAACAAACCTGATTTGACTCAGTTGGTGATCAACAGCCTTCTGCAGAACATGAAGAGATGATTCAACCATTGAATCAGGCGTGTTGGAGCAGGGAAACAAGTAAAGCATGGAAGATAGTGGCCCCTTGAGGACCAAGATTGGACTCCCCCATTGCAGATGAACAACTTACAACTCTCCAAAATCCTGGGAAGCTGCTCAGAGTTTTGCAGAAGGTCTTGTTGACAACAATCTGCACAGAAACATCAGATAACTTCCTGACTTGAGGTCCAGATGTTTTTGTAGCATTTCAGCACCTGACGGTGATCCAAGACCCCTTACCGGCGTAGGCTGAGGTTTTGATCCAGGTCAGGGTTGGAGTTGGGTACCCACTGGCGTCGCAGCGGAGGATTACGTTGCTGCCTAGTGGAGAGATGACCCTGGTGGCTGCAGGCTGGACCGAGGGTCTCATACAGCGAGTGAGCTCGGCCTGGGTCAGCAGCATCCCAGAACGACCCACTGACTTACTGCACATCAGCAGCTGATCCATCAGAACCACTGGACTTCCCAGGGACTTGGATAGGGATGTCAGCATTGAGATCTGGCAGTCGCACAGCCAGGGGTTGTCATGAAGACCTAAATATGGAAGAAGGATGAGCCCCTTCATCTCATTTAGGAAGATTAAAACCACAATTTTAATACTATTTACCACCTTTTAATGCATCTTATCCAACTCTAGATTAATGTGGTTTAAAGAAACACACATACATGATCTCCCGCCACCATATTTCTTGTATTTGGATGCAATGGATGCGATATTGTCAGTTGTAAAGCAGCACTTCTAATTATGACCATTAAGTGGTGACATGTACAGTCCATTTAAAAAAAACTATTACCGGTACATAAAAATAAAAATGTATAAAATTCTAAGTTTCTAAGAAAGTTACTGCTCCATCTGAAAGCGCTCAAAGTATGTGACGGGAATGACTCTCAGCTACAATCACACCACATTTTACCTCAATGTCTGGAAAACTGATTCATGTGTTATCCTGATGCATGCTCAATTATCCAGGTAGAAAAATCCAAAAAAGTTCAATCTGGTCCTCTGGACATAAAAAAAAAAAAAAAAAAAAA